CTAGCAGACAACAACAACAACAACAACAACAACAACAACCATAACAACACCAGGCTAAGTGTCTAGCAGACAATAACAACCACAACAGGCCAAGCATCCAGCAGAAAGCAGCAGCAGCAACAACAACTGTCTAAGCGACTAGCAAACAACAACAACTGGCTAAACGTCTAGCAGAAAACAACAGCACCAACAAAAGCAGGCCAAGCATCTAGCAGACAACAACAGACGAAGTGTCTAGCAGACAACAACAACAACCATAACAACAAGAAGCTAAGTGTCTAGCAGATAACAACAACAACCACAACAACAACAAAGTAAGTGTCTAGCAGACAACAACAACCACAAGAGGCCAAGCATCTAGCAGACAGCAGCAGCAGCAACCATAACAGGCCAAGCGACTAGCAAACAACAACAACAGGCTAAACGTCTAGCAGAAAACAACAAAAACAAGCCAGGCATCTAGCAGACAACAACAGATTAAATGTCTTGCAGACAACAGCAGCAACAACCACCATAACAACAACAGGCTAAGTGTCTAGCAGACAACAGCAACAACAACAACCATAACAACAACAGGCTAAGTGTCTAGCAGACAACAACAACCATAACAACAGGCTAAGTGTCTAACAGACAACAACCACCACCGACACCACAACAACAGGCTAAGTGTCTAGCAGACAACAACAACCATAACAAAAGGCTAAGTGTCTAACAGACAACAACCACCACCGACACCACAACAACAGGCTAAGTGTCTAGCAGACAACAACAACCACAACAGGCCAAGCATCTAGCAGACAGCAGCAGCAGCAGCAGCAACAGTCCAAGCGACAAGCAAACAACAACAACAGGCTAAACGTCTAGTAGAAAACAACAAAAACAGGCCAAGCGTCTAGCAGACAACAACAGATTAAATGTCTTGCAGACAACAGTAGCAACAACAACCATAACAACAACAGGCTAAGTATCTAGCAGACAACAACCACCACCACCATCACCACAACAACAGGCTAAGTGTCTAGCAGACAACAACAACCACAACAGGCCAAGCATCTAGCAGACAGCAGCAGCAGCAGCAGCAACAGTCCAAGCGACAAGCAAACAACAACAACAGGCTAAACGTCTAGTAGAAAACAACAAAAACAGGCCAAGCGTCTAGCAGACAACAACAGATTAAATGTCTTGCAGACAACAGTAGCAACAACAACCATAACAACAACAGGCTAAGTATCTAGCAGACAACAACCACCACCACCATCACCACAACAACAGGCTAAGTGTCTAGCAGACAACAACAACCACAACAGGCCAAGCATCTAGCAGACAGCAGCAGCAGCAGCAGCAACAGTCCAAGCGACAAGCAAACAACAACAACAGGCTAAACGTCTAGTAGAAAACAACAAAAACAGGCCAAGCGTCTAGCAGACAACAACAGATTAAATGTCTTGCAGACAACAGTAGCAACAACAACCATAACAACAACAGGCTAAGTATCTAGCAGACAACAACCACCACCACCATCACCACAACAATAGGCTAAGTGTCTAGCAGACAACAACAACCACAACAGGCCAAGCATCTAGCAGACAACAGCAGCAGCAGCAACAACAACAGTCCAAGCGACAAGCAAACAACAACAGGTTAAACGTCTAGCAGAAAACAACAACAACAAAAACAGGCCAAGTGTCTAGCAGACAACAACAGGTTAATGTCTAGCAGACAACAACAACCACAACAGGCCAAGCATCTAGCAGACGGATATCCCACGTCTCTAATAAACAAGTGCTTTTCCTGCTCAAAATATGAAGACCTTTGATTGACAGATGATGCAAAAACCCCAATTCTAATCCAATTTGTCATTACGGTTGAGAGAGGAAAGGCTCTGTTTTAATCTAGACGTGTCCCAGATTTTTATAAGACGGCGAAGAACAAGGGTGTTTCTTAATTGCGCTCAGTGAGTTTTCTTTCTGTTTTAATGATCTGGAACAGATTTGTGTTTGAAAAGAGGTTTCTGCCTTCTTTGGTTGATCACTTAGCCTTGCCATGGCACCTGCTGAGCATCCGGTTGTGAACTATCTCACCAAATGTACAGCTCCTGGCATTGCATAGCACCGGGCCATTGAAATTCAAAGTGGTGCCAAACTGGTCTAATTCTGCAGTGCGGACACAGCGTTTCCTGTCCCAGCTACTGGCCGTGAGTACGTCTGCACTGTAGGATTGAATGCACACTTTAGTGGGCCTGCCTCAATGCTATGGCATCGTGGGAGTTGTAGTTCGACAAGGCCCTGAACCTGGGGCCTCCCCAAACTACAACTCCCAGGATCCTGTTGCATTAAGCCATGGCAGTTAAAGATGCATTACTTCTACAGTGTAGCTGCAAACAGAGAAGATTAAGGGCCTTGCTGTTGGGGTTCAGCCTGCGTGTGAACCTGAGCCTGATTCTCCGATTGTATTTCCTGATGCTACTGAACATGTATTTCTCCCTGATGGTAATGAAAATGTTGATTATGAGGTCAGTGGCTTGGAAAGTGAAACTGTTTCAGAGCCAAGCAGTGATCGCTCTCCAGAGGAGTTAACACTTGGCTTTATTAATGAGGATAGAAAAGGACAGATTTGGAAAAACAGGAGTGAATCGTAGAGTCTGCGAAGGTCAAGCAGATTAAGGGAAAAGGAAGCACAGGCTTCAAAGCCTGGAGGCGTGTCACGAAATAGTTTCTTTAGTTTTAAGTGCCTCTCGCCGGGTTGTCTTGTTAGATCAGGCATCATTTAGACTGAGGCATTACCTTGGCAGATTTCCCTGTTTCCCGTGGCCTACATCCCAAGAGGCTTCTAGTGCTCCAAGTATAGTTAGTGGTTTGCTAACAGGTTCCAGGTTCTTACAGTGCTGCTTTTGGATGTTCATGGATATTCCTGACTGCTGAATTTTACAGTGGCTTTTTGACTTTGCATTTTCCTCTATTTTGTAACCATTTTTCATCAATAAAAAGGGATTGTTTTTTCCCCAAAGTCAAGTGTGGTGGATTGTTATCTTATGGTCTCGTTTCCTGCTCTGGGTTGCAACACTTGCAAAACTACAACTCCCAGGATACTCCATTGCATGGAGCCACAGTGGTCATGAGAGTGATCCCAAACTGCTTCCTTTCTATGGTGTAAATTCATCCAGAGGACTTTGCAAAACTACAACTCCCAGGACTCAACTGCGTTGAGCCATGGCAATTAAAGGGATATCAAACTGCATTCATTCTACTGTGTAGAATGATGTAGTTGGAGAAGGCTAAGGGCCTTGCAAAACTACAACTCACAGTGAAAGTGTCTTGGAGTGAAATTAGCAACAAAGGAGAAATATACCCTTTCTCTGTAGAAAAGGAGCAACACGGCAGAAAATGTTTTAATAAAAAACAAGAGGTGACATGTAGAGGTCATACAAAGTTCAAGCTTATATAGGAAGTTGGGTTGTGGTTAAGCGCAAAGGTTGTGGTTAAGCACAGAGTCTGCAGGTACAAGGGAAATGTCAAGGGAGGGGGGCAGGAAAGAGAGTACTTTCCATAACCAAAAAATCCTTGTATTACTTGAGTATAAAGGTCAGCAAAAACAGAGGAGGGGGCGGCAGTCTGTGGAAGCTCATACAAAAGTGCTGTCTGTCCGCCTCATGCTGATCAGCTTGAATAAACGGTGTCTTACCTGAACCTATTGGACTCTGTGGATTTCTTCTAAAAGGGACCCCACACCCTAAACCCGTGATTCCTTACACTAGGACTTCATTGCATGTAGCCATGAAATTGATCCCAAACCCCTTCCTTTCTACAGTGTAAACTCACCCAGGGAAGGCTTAAGGACCTTGCAAAACTACAACTCCCAAGATCCCAATGCATGGACCCATGGCGATTCAAGAGACACCAAACTGCATTGATTCTACAGTGTAGATTGATGCAGCCAGAGAAGGCTAGGGGAGGGGCCTTGCAAAACTACAGCTCCCAGGACTCCATCGCATTGAGCCATGGTGATCCCAAACTGCTTCCTTTCTACAGTGTAAACTCACCCAGCGAAGGCTGAAGGGCCTTGCAAAACTACAACTCCCAGGACCTCATTGGATGGAGCCATGGCAATTAAAGGAATATCAAACTGCTCTACTTCTAGATTTTGAAGGGAACCCCAAAGGCCATCCAGTCGACACCCCCTTTCTGCTAGGCAGGAAGACACAGCCAAACCCCTCCTGACAGATGGCCACCCACCCAGCATTCCTTTAGTGTCCCTAATTCCCTAATGTTTATAGAATCTTAGATTTGGAAGGGAACCCCAAAGGCTATCCAGTTGAGCCCCCCTTTCTGCTAGGCAGGAAGACACAGCCAAACTCCTCCAGACAGATGTCCACTCACCCAGCATAACCTTAGTGCCAATAATTCCCTTATGTTTATAGAATCTTAGCTTTGGAAGGGACCCCCAAAGGCCATTCAGTCGAGACCTCCTTTCTGTTAGGCAGGAAGACAAAACCAAAGCCCTCCAGACAGATGTTCACCCACCCAGCATACTCTTAGTGTCAAAAATTCCCTTATGTTTATAGAATCTTAGATTTGGAAGGGAACCCCAAGGGACATCCAATTGAGCCCCTCTTTCTGCTAGGCAGGAAGACACAGCCAAAGCCCTCCAGGAACCCCAAAGGCCATCTAGTCCAGCCCCTCTTTCTACTAGGTAGGAAGACACAACCAAACCCCTCCAGAGAGATGGTCAGTCAGCCTCTTTAAAACAGCAGACTCTTAGTGTCAGGAATTCATTTATGTATATAGAATCTTAGCTTTGGAAGGGACCCCCAAAGGCCATCCAGTCGAGCCCCCCTTTCTGCTAGGCAGGAAGACACAACCAAACCCCTCCAGACAGATGTCCACCCACCCAGCATACTCTTAGTGTTGGGAATTTCTTTATGTTTATAGAATCTTAGCTTTGGAAGGGACCCCCAAGGGCCATCCAGTCGAGCCCCCCTTTCTGCTAGGCAGGAAGACACAACCAAACCCCTCCAGACAGATGGCCACCCACCCAGCATACCCTTGGTGTCAATAATTCACTAATGTTTATAGAATCTTAGATTTGAAAGGGAACGCCAAAGGCCATACAGTCCAGCCCCACTGTCTGTTGGGCAGGAAGACACAACCAAACCCCTCCAGACAGATGGCCACCCACCCAGCATACCCTTATTGTCAATAATTCCCTTATGTTTATAGAATCTGAGATTTGGAAGGGACCCCCAAGGGCCATCCAGTCGAGACCCCCTTTCTGCTAGGCAGGAAGACACAGCCAAACCCCTCCAGACAGATGTCCACTCACCCAGCATATCCTCAGTGTCAATAATTCCTTTATGTTTATAGTCTTTAGCCCAGAGAAGGCTAAAGACCTTGCAAAACTACAACTCCCAGTATCCCATTGCACACAACAGTCTTTGGCAGTTCAAAGTGGTATCAAATCGGGTTAATTCTACAATCTAGACAAGGCCTGGTCTAGATGTAAACAATGCCCCAGCTTCTGCACTCTGCACATGCTCAGAATCCCCTTACCTGTGCAGGTGAGCCCTCCTCCTCCTCCATGGCTGCCAATGGGGTCAGGACAAAGGGACGGACCCGAAGGAGGACTCAGCCCCACCACAAGCCCTAAACTAAACAGCCAGGCAGAAGCAGCAGATGCCGGAGAGATCGATTGGGAAGGGGCGGGGCTTAGAAGCAAGGCATGCCGGGAAATGTAGTCCCAATGAGCAAAGGACAGGCAGTGGCTGGAACTCCTGTAGAAGGGATGCAGTTTGGACAGCCAAGGCTCCAATGCTGTAAGGCATCATAAGATTGGAAGGGGACACCAGAGGCCATCCAGTCCAACCCCCTTTAGCTGGGAAAAGGAAGTTATCATCTGCCTTTAAGACCTTTGCATCCTATGAGGTCACATATCTGGATGGACATCTGTCTGGAGGGTTTTGGTTGTGTCTTCCTGCCTAGGCGATCTCAGATACCCTCCCTGATTGATTTTGCAGCTGCAAGGATACTCAATGCTAATTAAGCTTGCTAATTGCAATATTTACACTTCCACAGGTAGGTAGGTAGGTAGATGTGTGTGTGTATAGTAAGGTAAAGGTTTTCCTCTGACATTAAGTCCAGTTGTGGAATCGAACTAGACTTGGCAAACAGTTCTCCCATGACCAACAGAAAATACTAGAAGGGTTTGGTGGGCAGTGTCCTTTGGTTTTGGAGTTGTAGTTCACCTACATTCAGAGAGAACTGTGAACTCAAACAATGATGGGTCTGGACCAAACTCTACAGGAATACTCAATATGCCCAAATGTGAACACTGGTGGAGTTGGGGGAAAATAGAATCTTGACATTTGGGAGTTGTAGTTGCTGGGATTTGTAGTTCACCTACTATCAGAGCATTCTGAACCCCACCAACGACAGAAGTGGGCCAAACCTTCCACACAGAACCCCCATGACCACCAGAGTGGGCCACAGCAACACGTGGCAGGGGACGGCTAGTCTATATAAATAAAAATGTAATGTATGTTTGTGGGACACAAGACACCTAACAACCCAATGTATGTCCTTCACTCATAAAAACACTGAAAAACAGCAGAAAAGACTTAAAAAGCCAAACAAATAAAAAATACATTACAATGCATGTGCAAAACCACATACACACACACACAAAACACGTATACACAGACTGGGCCACAGCAAAGCGTGGCAGGTGACGGCTAGTATTTTATAGAATCATAGAGTTGGAAGAGGCCTCATGGGCCATCCAGTCCAACCCTTTGACAAGAAGGCCCTGCTTGCTTCTGGAATACTTACAGCGGTTCCGGGAGGTCATGATTTGGAAACTATAAATCACTTCACAAACCAACATCCTGCAACAACCCTGCCATAGCAAGTAGAAGCCAAGGAAAGAACTGATTGATCACCTAAGCGAAAAGTATTCCCATTAGCTCCCCCGCTACAAAGAGGAAATGATGATGTCTTGCTCCTGGAAGAAAGAGGATACACACACACAAATGTAAACATTGTGTCTTTCTCCCTCTTCTTTTATTATATTTCGACTTGGTCATTAAAAAAAAAGATCCAGAACCATGCCATAGCCGTAGCCATGGAAGCATCTGGACATCAGAGCTCCAAAACCGACCCCTGCTTTTTTTTGGGGGGGGGGATTTGTAGTTTCCCCCTCACCATGCACTGAAATGGGTCTGTGCCCCCCAACTGTAAAAAAGGAAACATAACGGAGCAAAAGACAAGAGGAAAGGGAAGACTGAGATGTGAGGGCAGGGAGAAAGTGCGCTCAGCTTTTGGAGGATGCTGCACAACACCTCCCATCATCCCTGACCTGTGAATGGACCTCATGGGAAGTGTAGTCCAGCAACCTCTGTGGCGTGGCTGCCTCCTATGTTCCTGCTGCTGCATTGGTTGCCACAGCCATGTTTCTGTCTACTGTTTACAACCACACTGCAAAGGAAATGTGTGCATTTCACAGGGACCACGTGGAAGATGTGTGCATTTCACAGGGACCACGTGGAAGATGTGTGCATTTCACAGGGACCACGTGGAAGATGTGTGCATTTCACAGGGACCACGTGGAAGATGTGTGCATTTCACAGGGACCACGTGGAAGATGTGTGCATTTCACAGGGACCACGTGGAAGATGTGTGCATTTCACAGGGACCACGTGGAAGATGTGTGCATTTCACAGGGACCACGTGGAAGATGTGTGCATTTCACAGGGACCACGCGGAAGATGTGTGCATTTCACAGGGACCACGTGGAAGATGTGTGCATTTCACAGGGACCACGTGGAAGATGTGTGCATTTCACAGGGACCACGTGGAAGATGTGTGCATTTCACAGGGACCACGTGGAAGATGTGTGCATTTCACAGGGACCACGTGGAAGATGTGTGCATTTCACAGGGACCACGCGGAAGATGTGTGCATTTCACAGGGACCACGCGGAAGATGTGTGCATTTCACAGGGACCACGTGGAAGATGTGTGCATTTCACAGGGACCACGTGGAAGATGTGTGCATTTCACAGGGACCACGTGGAAGATGTGTGCATTTCACAGGGACCACGTGGAAGATGTGTGCATTTCACAGGGACCACGTGGAAGATGTGTGCATTTCACAGGGACCACGTGGAAGATGTGTGCATTTCACAGGGACCACGTGGAAGATGTGTGCATTTCACAGGGACCACGTGGAAGATGTGTGCATTTCACAGGGACCACGCGGAAGATGTGTGCATTTCACAGGGACCACGTGGAAGATGTGTGCATTTCACAGGGACCTCGTGGAAGATGTGTGCATTTCACAGGGACCTCGTAGAAGATGTGTGCATTTCACAGGGACCACGTAGAAGATGTGTGCATTTCACAGGGACCACGTAGATGTGTGCATTTCACAGGGACCACGTGGAAGATGTGTGCATTTCACAGGGACCATGTAGAAGAAGACTTTTAAAACAGATCGCTCATACAGGTTTGAGTCCTAGGCATGGGCCAACTTTGGCCCTCCGGGTGCTTTGGACTTCAACTCCCACAATTCCTAACAGCCTACCGGCTGATAGGAATTGTGGGAGTTGAAGTCCAAAGCACCCGGAGGGTTACAAGTGGCACATATCTGGTCATAGAAGGATGCTTCTCATATCGCACTTGCTTTTTTGGAGCAAAAACAACCATAGTCTCCTGCCCAAACAGCACGGCAACACAACAAACCTTGTGGGGCTGCAGCGCTGGCATCCAAACACTTGAAGGTTGCTTCGAGCAGCGCTATCTCTCTCTCTCATGCACCAGAAAAAAAAATCTGGTGACGCATTTAGATGCAACTAGAAAGCTTTTCTCCTCCAGCCGGGTGTCCGGAAGTCCGTCCATTCTCCACGGAGAACCCACGAGGCCCTAATCGCGACAAGGACAATGCATCCATCGCACTGTCCTTTGGGGTGCTTGGGACGAATTCCACTGGAGACGGCGATTTCTCCCCCGAGGCAAGCCAAACGGCCGGCCGGCGGGAGAAGTGTTCTTCTGGGATGGAGAGAGATGATGTCACAAGGGATAAATAGAACTTTATTTAAATAAACATTTGTCAACAGCGTTTTGTACAAATTACACAAGTCCCCATGTCCAGGTGCTGCTGCTCCTCCTTCTACTCCGCGGTGGTGGTGGTGCAATGCCCAAGTCTAGGCTCCGAAGCTGCCAGGCGGCCCTTTGAGAAGGTCCACCAGGATGTCCAGGAGCTGGCTGTGCTGGTGGTGGAGGTCCCCGGGAATGGCCGCCATCTCGTAGCAGAGGCAGGCCTCCACCATCCGGGAGAGTGCCACGCGGAAGTCGCGCAGGAGCCGGATGGTGTAGGAGTCCCCCTCCAGCACCAGGAGGTCGCTGTCCACGAGGGAGACGGTCGCGCGCCAGCCGTCATCTGCGGGGAAAGAGGAGGGCATATCTGTAATTTGAAATGGCACTGAAATGCTTTGAATGTAAGCTGCTTTGAGTCTCCTTGCGGGTTAGGATTATAATACTAATAATGTGTTGTCGAAGGCTTTCATGTCTGGAGTTGCTGTGAGTTTTCTGGGCTGTCTGGCCATGTTCCAGAAGCATTCTCTCCTGACGTTTCACCCACATCTATGGCAGGCAACCCCAGAGGTTGAGGGGTTTGTTGGAAACTAGGCAAGTAGGGTTTACATATCTGTGGAATGACCTCCAGGGTGGCAGGTCATTCCCACCCAAGAACTCTTCTCTGTTGGAGACAGGTGTGAATATTGCAATTGGCCAGCTTGATTAGCATTGAATGGCCTTGGAGCTTTGAAGCTTGGCTGCTTCCTGCCTGGGGGAATCTTTTTTTTTTTTTTTGTCATGTCAAGAGTGACTCCTGGTGTGAGAGAATTGGCCGTCTGCAAGGACGTTGCCCAGGGGACGCCTGGATGATTTGATGTTTTTATCATCCTTGTGGAAGGCTTCTCTCATGTCCCCGCATGAGGAGCTGGAGCTGACAGAGGGAGCTCATCCGCCTCTCCCCGGATTCGAAACTGCGACCTGTCGGTCTTCAGTCCTGCCGGCACAGAGGTTTAACCCACTGCGCCACCGGGGGCTCCATGGGGGAATCCTTTGTTGGAAGGTGATAAGCTGGCCCTGATTGATTGATCCCTAAAATATCTATCCTATTTCACCTGATCATGCCCAACATTTTTAAAGGCTTTAAGTACTACATTTGGCTCTGCCACAGGTTTTAATGCACCGCGGTGTTATTGTTTATGTTTTTTGCTTTGTTTTTGAGCTTTTTATTATTCTACTGTTTTACTGTTTTATTATTGCGTTTTACTGATGTATTGGGCTCGGCCTCTTGTAAGCTGCACCGAGTCCTTTGGGAGATGGTAGCAGGGTATAAATAAAGGTTTATTATTGTTGTTGTTGTTGTTGTTTTGTTTCCTGTCTGGAATTCCCCTGTTTTCTGAGTGTTGTTAGAATCATAGAGTTGGAAGAGACCTGGTGGGCCATCCAGTCCAACCCTCTGCCAAAAAGCAGGAAAATCCGTTCCAAGCACTCCCAACAGATGGGCACCCAGCCTCTATTTAAAAGCCTCCAAAAAAGGAACCTTCACCACACTCCAAGGCAGAGAGTTCCACTGCTGAACAGCTCTCACAGTCAGGAAGTTCTTCCTAATATTAAGTTATAAAATGATTTGGAAGTTAGAGAAGGATTCTGGAGAGTAAACCACCATTTTTTGCAACACACTGGAGCATCTTTTTGCTTTTTTTTGGTGGTGGTGGGGAGGACTTCATATGGAAAAAAAAGAAATTTTTTATAGGATATAGATATCCAAGATCTTATTTCTGAGGAAGGTCACTCCTCCCAGTGCAGTTGTACAGTCTATACTATGTATCCATAGATTCTGCATAATGTAGGACTGTTAATTTTAATATTAATAATAATAATAAAAACTTTATTTATACCCCGCTCCATCTCCCCCCGGGGGACTTGGTGTGGCTTACATGAGTCCACGCCCATCAGTGCAGTGCATACATTGTAATACAAAAACATAACAATACCAGAAAATAAAATACATAAAATGCAAAGAAATGTAATAAACAACACAGACAATATAAAACATGCAATTCAAAGCAGAGGATTTCACTGGCCAGGGCCGCATTCAAAGCTAAAATTTTAAAAACTCTGGGAGATAGGACGATGCAAATCATCAGGATGAGGATCCGAGAATGAGGGAGGGTTCCATTGCACGAACCGTAAATAAAGTGCTTCTAAGGACGTTTAATGCAAAGTTTGGTCAGGGAGTTTCTTACATTGAATCTCTGAAGGCACATTGGAATAACCAGGTTTTCAGGTTCCTCCTGAAGATTGCTAGCGTGGGGGCTTGCTTAATATCTCTAGGGAGTGAGTTCCAGAGCCGGGGGGCCACCACAGAGAAGGCCCTCTCTCTCGTCCCCGCAAGTTGTACTTGAGATGCGGGCGGGAGCGAGAGAAGAGCCTTTCCGGAAGATCGAAGAGATCGCGTGGGTTCGTGAATGGCCTAAATCAGAGCCGGCTTGATGGCAACTCTACTGGATATTTCCTGTCTCTTCTGGGTTTTTTTTGTGGGGGGTACCTCTTGATAGGCCAAAAGAGTGGGTCACTCACCCCGCACGTGGATGTCTGTGTCCGTCATGAGCAGCACAGCCAACGGGTGCACCTGGGACGAGTCGCGCACAAAGACGCCTCCGTTGGATTTGACCGCCATGAAGTAGGTCAGCCAGCGGCTGTAGAGCTTCGAGGCCTCTCTGCAGGGAAAAGCAAGGACCCGTCTCACATCCAGGGTGGCTTCCCATGCCTCCCTCTCTGCCCGGAAAAGCTAGCAAAGCTTTCCTGGCCAAGCCGAACCTGGGCTCACCTGTTGATGGTGGACTTGTGCAGAAGGACGGTCCCAGCCTTGGTCCGGTACGTGTAGCTGTTGGGCTTGAATTTGCCTTGTCTGGTCACTTTGCCTTGCCTCACCTGGAAAGACGGGGGAGGAAAGGGGAAAAATGGGATGGTTACCAAGGCATTCTTGGAAGACATCTCCCAACACTTGGAGGACCTCTCCCAACACTTGGGCCCTCCAGGTGTTTTGGACTTCAACTCCCACAATTCCTAACAGCCTACCGGCTGTTAGGAATTGTGGGAGTTGGAGTCCAAAACACCTGGAGGGAAGGCCGAAGTTGTCCAATACCGGCTCAATGACTCTGGAGAAGGAAGGCACCCTTCGAAAAGGTATTCCATCACTGTGCCTGTCTCTCAGTATTGCATTTTGCTATATAGGCCTTCCCTCTTATTTATTATTTACTTATTTACTTCACTTGTATACCGTTTTTCTCACGGGGGGGGGGGGGGGGACAGGACTCAAGATGGTTTCCAACATATTTATGCAAAATTTAATGCCTCACATATATATAAAACCTAAGATAGAGCAACCAGAATATACAACTATCAATTAGACCCTAAAAAAGTAACAAAATTTTGACAAAACGTGGAACAGAAACTTCTATATAAATAAAAAAGTAATGTTCATTTGTGGGATTAACATAACTCAAAAATCATTGGACGAAATGACATGAAATTTGGACACTATACCCCTAACAGAACAATGAGTGACCATCACTCATACCTCCCCCCCCCAAAAAAAAAGTGGAAAGGATTTAAAAATCCCAAAAAGCTAAATGACAGAAAGCTAAATGACGATACAGGGGGGAAAAAGGAAGGATGAGGGAGGAAAGGCGAGAAAGAAAGAAAGAAAGAAAGAAAGAAAGAAGAGAAAGAAGGAAGAGAAGGAAAGAAGGAAAGAGAGAAGGAAGCATGGAAGCAAAGAGTGAAGGAAGGAAGGAAAGAGGTAGAGAAGGAAGAAAGGAGAAAAAGAGGGATGAAAAGAAAAAGGGGGGAAGGAAAGAAAGAGGCAGAGAAGGAAGGGAGAGAAAGTAAGAAAAAAGGAAAGGAAAGAGGTAGAGAAGAAAGAAAGGAGAGAAAGAAGGAGGGAAGGAAAGACAGAAGTATGGATAGAAGCAAACAGCGAAGGAAGGAAGGAAAGACGTAGAGAAGGAAGAAAGGAGAAAAAGAGGAATGAAAAGAAAAAAGGGGAAGGAAAGAAGTTGAGAAGGAAGGAAAGAAGGAGAGAAAAAAGGGAAGGAAGGAAGGAAGGAAAGAGGGAGTGAAGGAAGGAGGAAAAGAAGAAGAGAAAGAGGGAGGGAAGGCTGGCCACAGCAACGCGTGGCGGGTACAGCTAGTATTAATATAAACGTTAAAATCACATAATCCAGAAACCATGGTCCAAGGCCATTCTAAATGTCAAATATCAATTGCACATGATCCCTGATCATTCCTTGTCTTGGTTATAGCCCAAAGGCTTGGTCCCATAGCCAAGTTTTTACTTTGTTTCTGAAGGCCAGGAGGAAGTGCGCTGATCTAATTTCATTGGGGAGGGAGTTCCACAGTCGAGAAGCCACCACTGAGAAGGCCTCGTCTCTCATCCCCACCAGTCACACCTGCGAGGGAGATGGGAACGAGAGCAGGGCCTCTCCGGATGATCTTAACCTCTGGGATCGTTCACAAAGGGAGGTATGTTTGGACAGGCACAACCCTGTCTTACCTGGATGAGGTTGGGATACAGCCCGGCCATCAGGACCCCCTTCACCAGCTCCTCCTCTTCGCTGTACTGGTTGCAGACGGACGATGGCAAGAGGCAGTCGGAGGGGGTGGGCACCAGGTAGGCCTCGTAGAGGTTTTCGGAGAACTGTTTCACCAGACCTAAGGGCCAGAGAGAGGCTGAAAGGAAGGCCAACGAACACAGGGAGAGGCAACGCTCTACAGCAGTGTTTCTCAGTTGTCCTAATGCCGTGACCCCTTAACACAGTTCCTCATGTTGTGGTGACCCCTAACCATAACATTATTTTTATTGATAATTCATAACCGTAATCTTGCTACTATTATGAATCGTAATGTAAATATCTGATATACAGGATGTATTTTCATTCACTGGACCACATTTGGCACAAATGCCCAATATGCCCAAATTTGAATACTGGTGGGGTTGGGAGGGGATTGATTTTGTCATTACCCATGAGCAAGAAATATCTTAGCATGAAACTTCAAAGCAAGGTTTCCATAAAACAAGGGTGAGAACTTGGCGTGATTCTAAATGATGCTTCATCTGACTACACACCCCAAACTTGAGACTTTTATCCCCTCGTTAGCTAGGTCAGTAGTGGTCAGAAATTGGTTTCTCTTTAGTTGAGGCTTTGTTATTGTTTTCTGTCGAAGCCTGGCAGAGCACCCAAGCCTTTGCACAGCTCTCCTGTTTTGACTGAACTCTTCTCGTCTATCTCTCAGCTCGTTATCTACTTGCGCATTAATTTCTGCAGGTGCCGAGCTATTTTCATCATCATCCCCACAACCCTCAGGGATATTCTCATGGGAAACTACAGGGATCTCCTGGTCATTCTCTGTACCACTATCACTGACCAAACCATTACCATCTTGAAACTTATCTTGGACCTCATTAACATCATTTCCCACATCCAAAGCACCCTGATCCTGAAATAATCGCAGGCTGAACTCAAACCAATTCCTAGCAGCCTCGGACCTTTTCCTTTTCCCCTTAAGCTGCTGAGGTTGCTAGGAATTGTGGGAGTTGATGTCCAAAACACCTGGAGGGAAGGCCAAAGTTGGCCCATTCCTGCTCTAGACCATAGTAAATAGTAGGCCCATTCCCTTCAAGTATGACTCACCATTAATAAAGCGCAGGCTGGGCGCATAGAGGAGATAATCCTGCAGGTAGTTGTCACGGGCGCGGCTGTCCCTGCGGCGGAGCACGTCCTCCCACCCGGCAACGGCTCGGACGAAGGCCAGGTGGTCACTGCCGCTCTCTCGGCTCAGAATGGCCTTGGCCTAGAGGACAAAGTGAGAGCAGTTCCAACAAGCCAACGTGATTCTAGGCTGCATCAACAGGAGCGTAACGTCCAGATCGAGGGAAGTCTTATTAGCAGCAGCGTGATACAGCATCAATAGTCCAAAGTGAGAAAAAAAAAACAATCAAATCAAAAACACAGAGACCAATGTTGTCTCTCCCAAAAGCAGCTTTTCTTTGTAGTAAAATAATATGGTTGCACTGTTTACAAGGACAAGGTTTCCATAACACAACTAAAGTTCTTTATACTTCCTTCTTTGCTTCCATGCTGGGCTTCTTTCTCATGCAGATAAATGGCTTTGCTCTCACTGAGCTTGCTCTCACACCGAACTTACACAGGGGCTTCACACAGTAGCTTTTTACACACAGCAGCCTTCACATTGGAGCTTCACACAGACGAGGTCTTCAACCTGGGGCTTCCTTTCATACTGAGGTGTTCTCTCACACTGAGGGCTCTCTCAGACTGACATCTCTCTCACACTGAGGCCTACCTCAGACTGATGGCTACTAAGCTACAGGAACACCTGCAGCTTTTGCTGAGTCACTGAATCCATTTAATATTATAATATAATATAATATAATATGATATAATATAATATAATATCTTTATTTTTGTACCCTGCCAATCATCTTCCCTAGGGGACTTGGGGCGGCTTACAAGGGACACGCCCAAGATTACAATTAAAGCACACATCTAAAACATTTTAACCAATTAAAACATCAGATAAAACAAATAACAACTAACAATTTAACCCTTTCAGTGCTTGACTCACATTTTTGTAATTAAAAATACCTAGTTAATTTTTGATATTTCTGACACTCTTGTTCACTTCCCCCCTCCACTTCGTCCACAAGCCTTACCTTGTCGACCTCTGTGCGGTTCTGGAGGCTGCTGCTGAAGGGGTCCCTGGTGAGGCAGGAGACGATGACCAGGAGCGGGTGGATGCAGCGGTAGATGGAGGCCAGCACGATGGCCTTGGCCAGCCGGGGGTCCGTGGAGATCTGGGCCAGGCGCTTCCCGAGTGTGGTCAAGCCTTCTCTGTGGTCCAGCACACCTGCAAGGGCCTCAGGGTCAGCAAAGGGAGGCTTGGGAGGGAGAGTCTACAGTCAGGTGGCAGAGGAAAGCGGGTATCACTCTCCCCATCGGCCGCATCCCTTCCGTAGCCCCACAGGTCACCCAGTCTGCCACCTGAGCCTGGCCTCTTCCCTTCACTCACCAATCTCTTGCAAAAGGATCACCGCTTCGTCCACAGCTTTGATGTCCGGACTGTCCAGGGCTTTGGAGAGGAATTCCACCGCCTGCGGGCCAAAACCACACACAGCACGACTCAAGGGAAACGTCCAGAAAAGTTTGAAGGAAAATAATGCTCTGTCACCCCAGTTTTTTCAGTGGAACAAGCAAACTTGGGAGAATGAGGGGGGAAAGTGATATGAGTGCCCTTTACAGATTGAAAGTCACTTTATTATTCTGTTTCCTGCACTCCTTTCCTACTGTTGAGCAGGCATAATGCCCTCGTTTCTATAAAAAGAAATTAAAAAGCTATTCAGTATTTGGAACTGCAATAATATGGTACATGAGAGTTAAGAGGGTGGAGCTGTTTGAGTGTTGTGCTAGGATTCAAACCCTGCCCAGCCATGGAAACTCCCTGGGTGACCTTATTTATTTATCTACGACATTTATATCCCGCCCTTCTCACCCCAAAAGGGACTCAGGGTGGCTTACATAAGTGGCATTATTCCATGCCCTAACAACAATTAAAAGCAATTAAACAACAATTTAAAACAACATTATTAAATGTTTTTATGGTGTTGTTGGGCATTGAATTGTTGCCTCTGTAAACCGCCTTGAGTCGCCTGAGGGCTGAGAAGGGCGGCATACAAATATTTATTATTTATTTATTTTTGCAGTAGTAGTAATTTTATAGATTAGCCCTTAGCCCATATCACAATAAGAAACAGAACAAGGCCTGACAAGACCTGATCACACTCCACATAGTAAGTTAAAATAAGACACTTATAACAATACAGTAAATAAATAAATATGATAAGACATGATAAAACTAATAAACTGATCAAGCTGAGTATATACATCATATTTCATTATCACCCTTACAATTTACCCCAATCAGCCCTACATATGTGGTTCTCAGACGTATTGTTTTGCTTAAGTACAGAGCTGTTTTATATGTTATTTTTGGGTCTTGGCCACACATAAAATACGTTGTTCTGATGTGAGATTCCCAATACATTGTCCTTTTGATATATGGACCAAGGTGGAAGTCTCTCACCTTTTGATACAATTTGCAATCAAATAATATGTGTGCTATATCCTCAATTTCAGGTTATTTACTGTATTTGTATACCGCCTTTCTCAGCCCTCGGGCGACTCAAGGCAGTTTCCAACAAATCAGTATACATAGAACAGAATATAGATAAAAACAYTAAACAATATAAAACATCACAAAAGCAATAAAAACAACATCATCAGCATCTCATTATTCTCAAGCATCGTCCAATTCCATTGTCAGGTCATYYGATTTCCTATATTAGCTACTCTGTATTTGTAAACGCTTGCTCAAACAGCCACGTTTTAACTTGCCTCYGAAATGTCAAGAGGGAGGGAGCAGATCTGATCTCCCTAGGGAGGGCGTTCCATAGCCGAGGGGCCACCACTGAGAAGGCCCTGTCTCTCGTCCCCGTCAAACTTGCTTGTGACGACGGCGGGACMGAGAGTAGGGCCTCCCCAGATGATCTTAAAGACCTCAGTGGTTTGTAAGGGGAGATACGTTCGGACACGTAAGTTGGGCCAGAACCATTTATAGGCCAAAGCCAGCACTCTGAATTGGGCCCGGTAGCAAACTGGCAGCCAGTGGAGCTGGCGCAACAAGGGGGTTGTATGCTCCCTGAGCGCCGCTTCTGTTAACAACCTGGCTGCCGTTCGTTGGACTAGTTGAAGCTTCCGGACCGTCTTCAAGGGCAACCCCACGTAGAGAGCGTTGCAGTAGTCTATACGGGATGTAACCAGAGCGTGGACTACCGTGGCCAAGTCACAGTAAATAAATACAGTAAATAAATAAACAAAAATAAAATATGCAAACATTAGATGACTATTGTGCATATATCCAAAGCCAGATAATCATATTCATCAATCTGACGCCAATTCCAACTGTATTCCACAGATAATTATACTGGGCCAAATGCTGTCTCCCAAAGCCAAGTTGTTTGCGAAATGACAGAATGGAAGGGGTCAATCAAATCCTACTAGGGAGGGAGATCCACAGTTGAGGGGCCACCACTAAGAGGGCCCCATCTCTCGTCCTCACCAGTTGCACCTGAGAAGGTGGTGGGACCGAGAGCAGGGCCTCCCCAGGTCTTAACCTTCGCGATGGTTCATAGAGGGAGATGCGTTCGGGCAGGTAAGCCAGCCAAAGAGAGAGGCAATGGCTGGGGAAAGAAAACCAGGCACCTGGGAGCAAGGCGTGTGTATGTGTGTTGCACCTACCGTCTTCTCCGGCATGTGGATCTTGGCCTGGACCACCAGGTTTTCTAGGGGAGTGCGGAGGATTTCCGGAACCTGGAAGGTGGGCATCCTGTCCAGGCGGCTGCGGGGGAAAAGGTGGTAGGCAAAGCCTGACTGGCAGCGGCCAGCGCGCCCTCGCCTCTGGATAACATTCGATTTGGAGACCCACACCGTCTCCAGGCAGGACACCTGGGGAGAAAACAAGAATCACAACCTCGTCTGGCATTTGGATTGGCTCGGCTAAGCCTCACTTCCTCTCTAGGGCCAAGTGGCACCAAAAATCCTTTTGCGGAGAATGTCGCCCCAAAGTGGCAGCAGAGCAAGAAGTGCTACTGTGTCCCTAGTTGCTCCAGAAGAGACCATGTTGCATATGGAGTGGAAGCCCTGCTTGGCCTCATACATAATGAAGTGCAATCCACAGTTGGACCAGAAATCATAAGGACAGTGCTCTGAAGGGGGAGGGCATAACAAGAAACTGGATTGAATGTTTTCTTCCCACCTCTTTCTCTGAGAAGACAACCAAGCAATGGGGCATTCCCGGACTGCAGATAATTTTCCAACATGAAAACTTGATACATTACGAAAAGTTATGAATTGCATACAGTTCCTGACCACTGAGGAAGCTTTGTTGACTCTTACTAGTTTCTACATATTGAACAGAACTTGCGAATTAAAAGAAAAGCTTTGGGAATAAATAGTGAGCATACTACTATCACCAGCAAGGGAAGTCTGCACTGGGTTGTTGTAGGTTTTTTGGGCTATATGGCCATGTTCTAGAAGCATTATCTCCTGACATTTCGCCTGCATCTATGGCAGGCATCCTCAGAGGCTGTGAAGTCTGCATTATCTGTAATTGTGTTAAATGACCTGTTTAGGCAATTAACCCAGCCTTCAATTTTTATGTTTCTGTGCCTTCTGGTTGTTGGGATTCAACACTGCCCAAGTCTCAAGTCCTCAATGAGGAGAAGTTAGAATTAGAATGGTCTGAGAGTTTTCTTTCCCCCATGTCTCCTGTATGGCAGTTAGGAATGTATTTTTCTTCTTCTCTCTCCTCCCCTTCTGCTCTCATTCTGATCGGATGTGTGTGTTGCTACTAGGGGTTTGCAACGGGCTTTTTCTAAGTCTTAGAAAGGATCAGGGTTTTTTTCTGTTGCAGCTGTCACGGTTTTTTTTGTCGTGTCAGGAGTGACTTGAGAAACTGCAAGTCACTTCTGGTGTGAAAGAATTGGCCGTCTGCAAGGACGTTGCCCAGGGGACGCCCGGATGTTTTGATGTTTTAACACCCTTGTGGGAGGCTTCTCTCATGTCCCCGCATGGGGAAGTGGAGCTGATAGAGGGAGCTCATCTGCACTCTCCCCAGATTCGAACCTGTATATAGTAAGGCACTAAGTATTTGGAAATTAGGAGCATTGTGTTCTAAGCTTTGCTTGAGGGCTCATTTTGAGCTGAAAAAACCTTTGTTTTGTGCCGGGAGCAGTTCTGCAGCATTCTGAAGATAAAGTTTGTTTATGGCAAGACAGATAACTAAGTCAGAGAGACTGTATATTATTCTGTTACATGTCTGCATATCTCAGCTGATTGAGGAGCCCCCGGTGGCGCAGTGGGTTAAACCCTTGTGCCAGCAAGACTGAAGACCGACAGGTCACAGGTTCAAATCTGGGGAGAGTGCGGATGAGCTCCCTCTGTCAGCTCCAGCTCCCCATGGAGGGACATGAGAGAAGCCTCCCACAAGGATTGTCAAGCATCAAAAAACATCCTGGCATCCTCTGGGCAACGTCTTTGCAGACGGCCAATTCTCTCATACCAGAAGCAACTTGCAGTGTCTCAAGTCACTCCTGACACGACAAAAAAAAAGCTGACTGAAGATGACTCACCGAAGGTACTGTTTTTATTATATTTTGGTGAGAACAATTCTTCTGTCTTGTTTTGTATACAGTGAATCTAACTTCATTTTATTTCTACTTAAAGTGAAAGTCTCATGTGTTTTTTAAGAGTTTTTAAATCACACTTAAGAGTTTAAAAGGGCTAAGTCATTATGTGGGCTGCTAACGCTGACAATGTGTAGAATGGAAACTTTTCTACTGCAAGCCTTTTTAAATCTGTCTTTTGCTTCTTACATTTGAGTAACTTTGCCACATTTGCAGTTGCAGCCCAAAAATTACAAGCCAAACTAGTAAAGTCCACAGCAGAAGCTAGAAATGGAAATTAAGATATTTTGGGGATGATACAAACCAGACATTTGTAATTGTTATTATGTCACTACTATAATTTTAAAGAGCTAGTATACAGAATTTGTTTTAATATTTGTATTGGAAAGTGCTTATTGTACCTTTAAAGGTTGTATATTTTATGTCATGGCCTATGGCTAGTACAATAAACAATTCATTCATACATTTGAGTATCTGCTGTGTGCTTTGAGATCTCTGTGTGAGTGTGTGTCAGAGAGATGTAATGATTGGTATTTTCTCTCTCTTTTGAAACCGTAGAAGAGAGGGGTGTTAAGAGTAGCTCAGACCCAGTTATTTACCATTGAGAAATGTAGTTCTTTTTTATTATTGTAAATAAACTTTTTCTGACTAAAGATTGGACTCTGCATCTTTGCCTGCCTAAGCTCCGAATTCCTTACAGCCACATTTCACGGCACTTCATGCTTTGCTCACTAGTGAGCTGAATGCTCAGCTTCTGTATCCTGTTTGTTTTTGGATGCTCTGCTATATTTTGGGTAGTTTTCCCTAACACAGATTACAACCCTCCAACCACTGGAAGGCTGAATTCTATTTCCTGTAGTTGGATTGGGCAAAAGATACTCATCATACACAGGGCACTCTGCGTATAGAATCATAGAATCATAGAATCAAAGAGTTGGAAGAGACCTCATGGGCCATCCAGTCCAACCCCATTCTGCCAAAAAGCAGGAATATTGCATTCAAATCACCCCTGACAGATGGCCATCCAGCCTCTGTTAAAAGCTTCCAAAGAAGGAGCCTCCACCACACTCCGGGGCAGAGAGTTCCACTGCTGAATGGCTCTCCCAGTCAGGAAGTTCTTCCTAATGTTCAGATGGAATCTCCTTTCTTGTAGTTTGAAGCCATTGTTCCGCATCCTAGTCTCCAAGGAAGCAGAAAACAAGCTTGCTCCCTCCTCCCTGTGGCTTCCTCTCACATATTTATACATGGCTATCATATCTCCTCTCAGCCTTCTCTTCTTCAGGCTAGACATGCCCAGTTCCCTAAGCCGCTCCTCATAGGGCTTGTTCTCCAGACCCTTGATCATTTTAGTCGCCCTCCTCTGGACACATTCCAGCTTGTCAATATCTCTCTTGAATTGTGGTGCCCAGAATTGGACACAATATTCCAGATGTGGTCTAACCAAAGCAGAATAGAGGGTAGCATTACTTCCCTAGATCTAGACACTATGCTCCTATTGATGCAGGCCAAAATCCCATTGGCTTTTTTTGCCACCACATCACATTGTTGGCTCATGTTTAACTTGTTTTCCACGAGGACTCCAAGATCTTTTTCACACGTACTGCTCTCGAGCCAGGCATTGTCCCCCATTCTGTATCTTTGCATTTCATTTTTTCTGCCAAAGTGGAGTATCTTGCATTTGTCACTGTTGAACTTCATTTTGTTAGTTTTGGCCCATCTCTCTAATCTGTCAAGATCGTTTTGAATTCTGCTCCTGTCCTCTGGAGTATTGGCTATCCCTCCCAATTTGGTGTCGTCTGCAAACTTGATGATCATGCCTTCTAACCCTTCATCTAAGTCATTAATAAAGATGTTGAACAGGACCGGGCCCAGGACGGAACCCTGCGGCACTCCACTTGTCACTTCTTTCCAAGATGAAGAGGAAGCATTAGTGAGCACTCTCTGTGTTCGTCCACTTAACCAATTACAGATCCACCTCACAGTAGTTTTGCCTAGCCCACATTGGACTAGTTTCCTTGCCAGAAGGTCATGGGGGACCTTGTCGAAGGCCTTACTGAAATCCAGGTACGCTACATCCACGGCATTCCCCGCATCTACCCAGCTTGTAGCTCTATCGAATAAAGAGATCAGATTAGTCTGGCTCTGCAAACACTTTGAAACAAATGCAGTCATCGCTAATAGTCAACATGGATTTATCAAAAACAAGTAATGCCAGACTAATCTGATCTCTTTCTTCGATAGAGCTACAAGCTGGGTAGATGCGGGGAATGCCGTGGATGTAGCGTACCTGGATTTCAGTATCCCTGCTAGAAAGTCCTTCTCACTCTCCAACAAAGCTCTGTTAGATACTGTTCTGCACATCAATTCCCCAAACCCCTTTCTCCAAGGTCAGCATATAAATACATATATTTGAGCAGAGGCTAGCTTCCATACACCTAAAGAAGTGGACTGCAAACTGTGAAAGCTTATGTCAAATGAAACATTAAAGACGGCTACTTTCACTGCAATAGGCTAACAGGGCTGCTGTCCACCTGCTCCTGCCCTCAAATTTCTGTCAGGCAATTCCTGAGGGCAAGAAAAGGCCTGAGAAGCCCCTCAGTTGAGTGTCAGGAGGAGGCCGCCCACCTTGGTCTTGAGGTCATAGCGTTCCTCCTTGTGGGTCCCGCTGTCCACAACGTGCACAATATCGTTGATGGTGATGGAGGTCTCAGCAATGTTGGTGGCCAGGACAATCTTCCGCACCCCGGGCGGCGGTCGTGGGAAGATGCTCTGTTGGTCCATCATGGGGATGTTGGAATGAACTAATGGGGGGAAAGGGGGTTGAAGGTGGTCAGCATCTTTCCCCATCCCCTTCAGGGGGAGCCTCAATTGTTACTCCTTGAGTGAGGCCCTCATTGAGGTTGTTGGGCCTTAACACTTCACTACCCTGGCTTTGCAAGGGCGCAGGCGTATTCCCCGCCCCACAGAGAATGGGAGCAGCCCCCTGACCTGGTAAGACAAGGTAGCGGCTGTTGTGAGACCCCAGAGACTCCAAGAGACGCTGCTGGACCCCTTTGATCTCCTGCCAGCCAGGAAGGAAGCAAAGGATGCCACCTGCAACAAAGAGGAAGAGGAAGGGGCAGCATTAATCTAATATTCTTATCTTTTTTTCTTATAGAAAACCTAGGGTGGCATGCAAAGGGTGCCCACAGAGTGTCCCAACATTATCTATCTATTTGTTTACTATACATATTTATATTCTGCCTTTCTCCACCCCAAGGGGGACTCAAGGTGGCAACAATTAAATGCCTTAGCAACAATGTACAATTAAAATAAACATTTAAATTAAATTAAGATCAAAATTGAAATGCATTAAACATTTCAAAACATAACAGTAACTATCAACCCATGATATCTGCAAAACATAAGTCAGGTCATTCTAGTAATCACTGCAGATAATTCCAATCTGTCTATTGCACTGCAGGTCTTCTCCGAAGGTTTGACTCCCAGAGTCATGTTTTCACTCTCTTTCTGAAGGTCAGGAGGGAGGGGGCTGATCTAACATCCCTGGGGAGGGAATTCCACAGCTGAGGGGCCACCACTGAAAAGGCCCTGTCTCTCATTCCCACCAATCACGGGTCCAGCCTTCCCGGATGATCTTAATCTCAGAGATGGTTTCTAGGGGAAGATGCGTTCTGACAGGTCGACTGGGCTGGAACTGTTTAGGGCAGGGGTCCTCAAACTTTTTAAACAGAGGGCCAGGTCACAGTCTCTCAAACTGTTGGAGGGCCAGATTATAATTTGAAAAAACATGAATGAATTCCTATGCACATTGCACATATTTTTTTTGTAGTGCAAAAACACTTAAAACAATACAATAATTAAATGAAGAACAATTTCAACAAATATAAACTTATTAGTATTTCAATGGGGTGTGGGCCTGCTTTTAGCTGATGAGATAGGATTGTTGTTGTGTGCTTTCAAGTCATTTCAGACTTAGGTTGATCCTGAGCGAGGGCCGGGTAAATGACCTTGGAGGGCCGTATCCGGCCCCCGGGCCTCAGTTTGAGGACCCCTGGTTTAGGGTTTTATAGGCCAAAGCCAGAACTTTGAATTGTGCTTGGTAGCAGGCTGGCAGTAAGTGGAGCTGATGCAACAGGGGGTTGTATGCTCCCTGTATGTTGCATCAGTGAGCAATCTGGCTGCTACCCGTTGGACTAATTGAAGTTTCCAAACACTCTTCAAAGGCAACCCCATGTAACGCATTGCAATAATCTATTTGGGATATAAAAAGACCATGGACCGTCGTGGCCAAGTCTGACCTCCCAAGGTATGGGCGCAAGTGGCGCATAAGTTTTAATTGTGCAAAAAAACCCCTGGCCACCACCAAGACCTGGGATTCCCGGCTCAGCGATGAGTCCAGGAGGACTCCCAAGCTGCGAACCTGTGTCTTCAGGGGGACTGTATCCCCATCCAACACAGGCTGTAACCCTATACCCTGTTTGCCTTATGACTGACCAGGAGGACCTCTATCTTGTCTGGATTCAATTTCAATTTATTGTCCTCATCCAGACCATCACAGCTGCCAAGCACCAGTTCAGGACCTGAACAGCCTCCTTAGCAGCAGGTGGAAAGGAGTTGAACATCATCTATGTACAAATGACATTGATATGGGTCAGAGGAAATGGTACTAAGCCTCAGAAACTTTGCAATTGCAAGGTTTCTAAAGTCTTTATCCTCACCTTCTGGTTTAGGCTCAGGTCACAAGACCCTAGGTCTTCTTCTATTCCCTCTTCTCTTCTCCTGCTCAGGTGACAAACAGCACCAGCAGAACTTCAAAATCTGGCCCATTTCCCTTATGTCCCCTGGCTAGAGAGGTTTTTATCACACCCTTTTGTCTTAAGTGAATTTTTAAAAACTGGCTAACAACAACAACAACAACTTTATTTTTCTATCTCGTCATCATCATTGGTTTTTAAATATTAGTGTGATATTGTCTATGTGTGAGTTATATTAACTATAATCCGGTGGCGCAGTGGGTTAAAGCCCTGTGCTGGCAGGACTGAAGACCAACAGGTCGCAGGTTCAAATCCGGGGAGAGGCAGATGAGCTCCCTCTATCAGCTCCAGCTCCTCATGCGGGGACATGAGGGAAGCCTCCCACAAGGATGATAAAAACATCAAATCATCCAGGCGTCCCCTGGGCAACGTCCTTGCAGACGACCAATTCTCTCACACCAGGAATCACTCCTGACACGAGAAAAAAAATTAACTATATCGTTTATTTTGCTTATTCCCTGTTGTTTTATTGATGTCTTGTTGGGCTTGGCCTCATGTAAACCGCTCTGAGTCCCTTGGGGAGATGGTGGCGAGATATAAATAAAGTTGTTGTTGTTGTTATTATCATCATCATCTCCCCGAAGGGACTTGGGGCGGCTTACAGATGGCACAAAGTGCCTAAAAACAAACATAAAAGTGAACACAATATAAAATACAATAAAGTAAAATGCATATAAAACATCAACTCAGACTCAACCAAGCTGCGATCCTCTAATCACGACAGTAAATTACTGGCACCATGGCTGGGCTATAAACATTGGAATCAAATAAGTGTCAGTTGCATTAACGGAGAGAGGGCATGGGATAAGTGCAAGATGTGCGACCACTACGCAGGAGAACTAATGGCTAAATATTCTCAAAGGCTTGATTGAAGAGTCACGTCTTCAAGTCCCTACGAAAGGAGGACAGTGTGGGGGTCTGTCTAATCTCCCTGGGGAGGGAGTTCCAAAGTTGTGGGGCCACAACCCATGAGACATTTGAGGTCGTTACTGCCTACTTTTGGTAACTCGGTGAAGCTGACTGACCAGCCAAGAAAGAGGATGAGCAGAACTGGAGGCAACATTGCCGGCACCTACCTGGTTCTCCATGGGTATCGATCTGAAGGATAAGGTCTGTGATCAGCTCCAGGTCGAGGACACACTCCTCGTCTGATTGCTGAAAAAAAGGGGGGCAAAGACTGTTGGGCGAGTGGGCTAATAAAGAGAAGACCCTCCCCATAAATGTACAGCAGAGTAGCTTGGCAGCATTGTGACCGAGCACCAGTAACCCGATAAAAAGAACAAAAACACACAGACCAAAGTTATCACTTCCATAGGAGGCTTTGCTTTGTAGCAAAATAATATGGTTGCACTATTTACAAGAATAAGGCTTCCACAGCACAAATGAACAAATATAGAGTAGCTTTACACTCAGCAGCCTTCACACTGTAGCTTTCTAACATGAGGCTTCTCTTGCACAGAGGTTTACCTCACACTCCTCAGAACGACACTAGCTTTGGCCCATTAACTCTAACAGACTTCGGACTACTCACACTCCTCATAACGACACTAGCTTTGGCCCACTAACTCTAACAGGCTTCGGCCTACTCACTCTCCCCAGGACAACACTAGCTTTGGCCCACTGACTCTAATAGGCTTTGTCCTACTCACACTCTTCAGGACGACACGAGCTTTGGCCCATTAACTCTAACAGACTTCGGCCTACTCATTCTCCTCAGGACGACACTAGCTTTGGTCCACTAACTCTAACAGGCTTTTGTCCTACTTACACTCTTCAGGACAACACTAGCTTTGCCCAACTGGCTCTAATAGGCTTTGTCCTACTCACTCTCTTCAGGACAACACTAGCTTCGACCCACTGACTCTAACAGGCTTTGGCCTTCTCGCTCTCCTCAGGACGACACTAGCTTTGGCCCACTCACTCTAACAGGCTTTGGCCTTCTCGCTCTCCTCAGGACAACCCTGGCTTTGGCCTACTAACTCTAACATTTATTATGTAAATAATAAATAAATAAATAACAGGCTTTGGCCTACTCACACTCCTCACGATGACACTAGCTTTGGCCCACTAACTCTAACAGGGTTCGGCCTACTCACTCTCCTCAGGACAACCCTGGCTTTGACCTTCTAACCCTAACAGGCTTCAGCCTACTAATACTCCTCAGGAGGACACAAGCTTTGGCCCACTAACAGGGTTCGGCCTACTCACTCTCCACAGGACAACCCTGGCTTTGACCTTCTAACCCTAACAGGCCAAAGCTAGTGTTGTCCTGAAGAGTGTGAGTAGGACAAAGCCTATTGGTATCAGTTGGCCAAAGCTAGTGTCGTCCTGAGGAGAGTGAGTAGGCCGAAGAGTTAAGAGTTACTTAACTCTTCGGCCTACTCACTCTCCTCAGGACGACACTAGCTTTGGCCAACTGATACCAATAGGCTGTCCTACTCACACTCTTCAGGACAACACTAGCTTTGGCCTTATGACTCAAACAGGCTTCGGCCTACACCCTCTCCTCAGGACGACACTAGGTTTGGCCCACTGACTCTAACATACTTTGGCCTACTAAATCTTTCAGTGCTTGACTCACACTTTTGTAATAAAAAATACAGAGTCAATATCTCTGACTAAGATTTGGTCTGACAACCAAGAACTGAGGACCCAGAGAAAGACTGATCTTCCCTGGACAACACCAGAAGGCCTGGTCTTGCTCTGTGTGGAGGAATGTGAGAAGGCTGCTTTCTCAAAACAGTACAACAGGAAAGAGAGGGGGATGACCACGACAGACAGGTGTCACAAGCTCACCTTGATCTCATAGTGCCGGTGCCGGTAGCGCCCCAGCATGTTCATGATCTCCTCCAGGTAATACTCCTTGACCGGGTACATGAAGCCCGGGACCTTGACCACAGGACAGTCCCCAAAGTACTGAGAGAAGCGCTGGTTGTCCCCCGTGGCGCTCATCAGCACCAGCCGGAGGTTGGGGTTCTGCTTCTGGACGCCCTTCAGCAGGATGAGCAGGAAGTCGGTGTTGACGTCCCTCTCGTGGACCTCGTCCACAATCACGTGGCTGACCCCCTCCAGCCGGGGGTTGCCTTGCAGCTTGCGCAGGAGGATGCCCACCGTGCAGAAGAGCAGGGCCCCTCCCCGGGCGGGGGGCTTGCTCTCCAGCCGCACCTGGTAGCCCACGTTCTTCCGCATGTTGGGGCCCAGCTCCTGGGCCACCCGCTGGGCCACGGATATAGCGCTGATCCGGCGGGGCTGCGTGATGATCATGTTGCACTGGGCCCCCCGCCCGTCCAGGATGTAGTTCTCCAGCATGAGCTGGGGGATGCGGGTGGTCTTCCCGCAGCCTGTGTCCCCGGCAATCACCACCACGGGGTTCTGCTCCACGGCTGAGAGGATAGTGTCCCGGTGGGAGTCCACTGGAAGTGCGTGGCTCTCCTGCCAGGAGGAGCCCCTCCGCTTCCAGAGAGCCAGGAGGTTCTGGCTGAGGCGCACCTCTTCCGACTCGGACATGGGGAAGTAGGTCTTGCCCGTGATGGCGTCGCTCAGGGAGCCTGACTCCTTGCTCAGGTTCATCATGTCATCCGCCAGCCGCGGCCGGGATTCTCGGGCATCCACAGGGAACTGGGAATGAGTAGAGAGCCAAGTGGGAATTTCTTTTTGGTGTTACACCCCTGTGGCATACTTCCATGGACCATAGGTATTACAATGGTTCTTAACACCAGGGACTTAAATCAAGAAATAGTTTTCTAAGATCTACAGAGACACTCACTGGAACACCTAAGCAAGCGAGAGTCCAAAAGTGGCAGGCTCAAACCCAGAACCTCAATCAATGGCTGATAGCAAATGAGAGACTCCCCCCTGGGCACACAGAAGACTGGGCGACTTGGAAGGCGCTGAACAGACTGTGCTCTGGCACCACGAGATGCAGAGCCAATCTTAAAAAATGGGGTCACAAAGTGGAATCCACGACATGCGAGTGTGGAGAAGAGCAAACTACAGACCACCTGCTGCTATGCACCCTGAGCCCTGCCACATGCACAATGGGGGACCTTCTTGCAGCAACACCAGAGTGGCCAGATAGTGGTCAAAGGACATTTAATCAACTACCAAACTCACACATTTTGTATTTTGTCTGTTTGTTTTGTTCTGTTAGAAATGTAATACAATTGTCTGGTTGCCTGACATGATAAATAAATAAATAAATAACACCAGGGAGGTAAGCAGAGGTCAAAGGGGAGCATGCTTAAATCTCTAGTGGGAAAGACAAAGGAAAAGTAATGGCCTTCTTGTTGGCGGCCCCCTCAGCTCTGGAACTCTCCTCTTAGGGAGGCTCGAACACCCCGCTCCTTACTGTCCTTCCAGCAGGAGGTAAAGACAGCCAATAGCTTTTCCTTCTCCAAGAGATTGCAAAAAATGTCTCTCCCATCCAGCATTTTGATTCTAAATACCATATATACTCGAATATAAGCTGAGGCACCTAATTTTACCACCAAAACCTGGGAAAATTTATTGACTTGACTATAAGCCGAGGGTAGGAAATGCAGCCGCTACTGGTAAATTTCAAAATAAAAATAGATGCCCATAATACCATACATTTACATGTAATAAGAATAATAGAGTAAAATAATAAATATAATAATAAATAGAGTAAAACAATAATTGTGATAATAGAGTAAAACAATAAATGTAATAATAGAGAAAAATAATAAATGTAAAAATAATTATAAAGTAAAATAATAAATGTAATAATAATTGTAATAATAATAGAGTAAAATAATGCATGTAATAATAATAAACAGAGTAAAATAATAAATGTAATAAAAACAACAATAATAAAAGAGTAAAATAATAAATAACTTTGAAAGTATAAGCCGAGGGAAGCTTTTTCCACCTAGAAAAAGGGCTGAAAAACTGGGCTTATACTCGAGGAGACATTTTTCTTCACTGACCAAAGCTGTGGTATTAATTAGCATTGTCATTGAATTTATCCTGGGAAGTTTGTGGGTGTTTGTGAACATTTTATGGCATCACATCAGATCAGCCAATGATATGACCAAGATGATGAAAACTTTTCCTGGAACTACAATAATCTGCTTCTCCCTGTAACCTATACGCATTCATCCTTTGGATCGATATATATGTACACAACCTGCTTGACTCTCCCCGGTTGGGGATGCCACCAACACGACTTCTGATACGAGCAAGGCTTACGTGATTCAGGTAGTTCTCAATCTTGCGCAGCGTGGCCTCAGGGACTTTGATGTGGCAGGGCTTCCTCTGGTTCTCGCCCAGTTCCCGGAGGGAAGTCATGTTGTACATGGCATGGCTGAGAGGGTTGTTGTTCTTGTCCACTAAACCAAGACTCTATAAGGGAGGGAGCACAGAGTGAGGCTGGAAGATGGACAGAAGATGAAGCAATGGCAAAACCCACTCTTGCCTGGAGGAAAGACACTTAGCAAATAATAAGATGGCAATGAAATGTTACCTCTTCCTACACCAGACTACCTGAAATCATCAGCAGAAGCCCTATTACATGTCCTGCTACCCAAGGGCACACAGGTGACAAAGCTTTCTGTGTAATCAATCCACTCTCAGTGAAAGCTTTCATCCCCTGTGACTTCCCAGAAAGCAGTGAAGATTGTGCTGTTTTTCATAATCTCTAGCCCTTAAAATGAGAAGTGGCGGTTCCAGCTGTTTTAACTGTCTGATAAAAGTAAACATGAAGAGTCTGAGTATTTCTAGCTTTTTCACCTGTCACTCTGTAGACACCACACTAAAACAGTGGATGTGGTTCTTAATGAGACATGCCGCATTATCACGGGGTGTCTGCGCCCTACACCACTGGAGAAATTACACTGTCTAGCCGGTATGGCACCACCTGACATCCGCCGGGAAGTAGCAGCCAATAGTGAAAGGACCAAGGCAGAGACATCTCCAGCTCATCCCCTTGTTTGGGTATCAGCCAGCACGTCAACGACTTAAATCTAGAAATAGTTTTCTAAGATCTACAGAGACACTCGCTGGAACACCTCAGCAAGCGAGAGTCCAAACGTGGCAGGCTCAAACCCAGAACCTCAACCAATGGCTGATACCAAATGAGAGACTCCCCCCTGGGCACACAGAAGACTGGGCGACTTGAAAGGCGCTGAACAGACTGCGCTCTGGCACCACAAGATGCAGAGCCAACCTTCAGAAATGGGGCCACAAAGTGGAATCCACAACATGTGAGTGTGGAGAAGAGCAAACCACTGACCACCTGCTGCAATGCAACCTGAGCCTGCTACATGCACAATGGAGGACCTTCTTGCCGCAACACCAGAAGCACTCCAAGTGGCCAGATACTGGTCAAAGGACATTTAATCAACTACCAAACTCACACATTTTGTATTTTCTGTTTGTTGCTTTGTTCTGTTAGAAATGTAATATAATTGACTGGCTGCCCTGACACGAGAAATAAATAAAAAAAAACCTCTGTAGATCGGGCATGGGCAAACTTTGGCCCTCCAGGTGTTTTGGATTCCAACTCTCACAATTCCTTGCAGCTTAAGTGGCTGAGGGGGTAAAGGAAAAAGTCTGAGTCTTGGAGATCAGCCTGTGATTGTGTTTCAGGATCAGGGTGCTTTGGATGTGGGGAATGATGCGAATGAGGTTCAAGATGGGTTTCAAGACGGCAATGGTTTGGTCAGGGATATTGATGCAGAGAATGATGCAGAGTTCTCATCCTTGTTTTATGGAAACCTTGCTTTGAAGTTTCATGCTAAGATATTTCTTGTTCATGGTTTTGGATTTCTATATTTCATGATTGCTTACCCAAGCCTTGGATCAATGTATTCCTGATTTTTTGGATTGTATTGGAGTTGTGTGGACTTTGCTTTTATGGACTTTGCTGAACTCTACCTTGAACTAATTTGTTCCTGCTTATCTTCCTGCCTAATTGGATTTACCTATTTCTTTAGAGTGCTTTTTACTTTTCTTCTTTTTACTTATTTTCAATAAAAGGATTGTTTTTTCCTATTCAATGCATGGTGTTTAAAGTCAGAGTGTTATTCCTATTCTGGAGTGCAACACTGAGGCTGTTAGGAATTGTGGGAGTTGGAGTCCAAAACACCTGGAGCGCTAAAATTTGCTCATGGTTGTTGTAGATCTTGTCAAAGTGCCAAAAGCAGCGTAATAATAAAGTGACAAGCAGAGAGGAGAATACAAAGGTTGCCCTTCATTGCCAAGCTACGGGATGGAGGCGCTCTCCCTGTTTGGGCCAAGCGAGATCTTCACCTTCAGCTTCTGGCAGGCCAGAGCGGCTGCTTTGTTCTCCGCCTCCACCTTGCGGCGTCCCTTGGCAGCAAAGGTCATGGGGCAGGGCCAGCGCAGCGTCAGCTTGCAGATCTTCGTCTTGGTGCCCACCGTCCGGAACTGCATGTACTCCTAGAGACAAAGGGACAGGTCAGCAGGAGGCCCTTGTAGTGTCTCTCTGCTCTGCTAATCACATCTCATCAAACTGGGAGTAGTGAAACAATTTATTTATTTATTTATTTACTGTATTTGTATACCGCCTTTCTAAGCCCATACCCTGTCAATGCGGTTAACCGGGTAAAATTCAATGCTTACAATATCACAAATACAATTAAAAACATAACATATAATAAAAAATAAGCATATCAATAAAATATCAATTCATAGTGTCGCCTTGTTAAAAACTCTGTCCGGTCTCACTGTCATCATTCCATTTTCCTATGTCAGTTACTCTGCATTTGCAAACGCTTGTTCAAAAAGCCACGTCTTGACTTTTTTCTGAAATATTAAAAGGGAGGTGGCCGATCTAATATCTATAGGGAGGGTGTTACACAGCCAAGGGGCAATCGCCGAGAAGGCTCTGTCTCTCGCCTCTGCCAAATGTACTTGTGACGAAGGCGGTAACGAGAGCAGGGTCTCCCCGGATGATCTTAAGATCCTATCCAATTCAACCTGGGTTCAGGCACAACTGAAAGGGCCACTGGCACTGAATGAAACATGCAGAATAATCACAGGATGTTTCAAACCTACACCTGTTGACATACTCTATAAATTAGCTGGCATTCCCCCCCCCCTTCCCCATGATGTGTGATGGGAAGTTACTGCTAACTGTGAGAGAAAGAAGGTTGAACCCTGTGAAAGCCACCCACTACATGGCTATCAGCCTCTTCCCAGTAGACTCAAATCAAGGGAAAGCTTCATGAGAATCACCACTCCTCTCAACGTTCCCCCAGCAATAGCATCCTTCTGGGCAACTAAACCAGGACATCCCAACTGGATGGCCCCCCCACGAGGGAGGGTCTTCTTCCAGGGGCAAACCAAGAATGGGCAACTTGGAAGTCCCTGAACAGACTCAGAAGCAGAGTGGGCAGATCAAAAGACAACCTGGCAAAATGGCAACACCTAGAAGAATCCTCTACCTTGTGCGACTGTGGAGTAGAACAAACAACTCTGCACCTGTATGCTTGTCCATTGGGCCCTGCCTCATGCACAGAGGAAGAAGGCTACAGACAGTGCAGTCACTGTTGCTTGTTTTGAGTCAAAAGATATTTAGCTGCTTGTGCTCTTTCTATTTTTATCAGCTTTATACTTGTTTATTTATGAAATGCTTTGACACAGAATAAATAACTAACTGAAAAGACCCTCTTTCTTGTGGCCACCTTCCAAGCTTCTTTCAGAGGAAGGCCTCAGATGCTGAGAAGCCTGATGACGTGAGAGGTATGGTGTCAAGTGACAGAGTCCTGAGCTGTATAAACTGCTCAAAAACATGCATGTTGTTTTCTGTGCATTTGTAGCTTACGCATATTTTACAGTTTACTGATAGGAACAATTTTGAAATTTCTGGACATCATCCATGCATAATAAATATTGGCAAATTGAGGCATAATAAAACCAGCACTTTAGCCCAAGATATACCAGCAGGAAAAAAAGGTGTTCTACCTTCAGACCTTCTGGTTCCCATCATCAACAAGCCCAATGAGGAGCGGCTTAAAGAGCTGGGCATGTTTAGCCTGAAGAAAAGGCTGAGAGGAGACATGATAGCCATGTATAAATATGTGAGAGGAAGTCATAGTGAGGAGGGAGCAAGCTCGTTTTCTACTGCCCTGGAGACTAGGATGAAATGGAGCAATGGCTTCAAACTACAGAAAAGGAGATTCTATCTGAACATGAGGACGAATAGTCTGACTGTGAGAGCTGTTTAATAGTGGAACTCTCTTCCCAGAGTGTGGTGGAAGGAGTGCTTTTAAACATAGGCTGGATGGCTATCTGTCGGGGGTGCTTTGAATGTGATTTTCCTGCTTCTTGGCAGAATGGGATTGGACTGGGTGGCCCATGAGGTCTCTTCCAACTCTAGGATTCTATGATTCTACAATCTATCTGACTCATGTGAACACCAGGTGTTTTGATGTGAACATAACCCTCTTTCTCACAATGAACCAGTTCTAAATCATGGAATGCACCAACATAACAACTATCCCTTATTCCTCTCCTGCACAGCTCCAGACCTGCTTAATAATCCTTGTGCCCTTGAATACCTCTCCAGAACACTCTCCTTCTCCCTCTAGAGCAGTGGTTCCCAACCTGTGGTTTCCCAGGTGTTTTGGCCTACAACTCCCAGAAATCCCAGTCAGTTTACCAGCTGTTGAAGTTGAAGGCCAAAACATCAGCCGGCCTGAGTCCCTCCCTGGTGGTGAGAAGACCGGGGTATAAAAACTCTAAATAATAAATAAATCTGGGGACTCACAGGTTGAGAACCACTGCTCTAAAGGATTCATTTTATTATTTATTTTATTTACTACATTTATATACCACCCCTCTCAGCCCACGGCAACTCGGAGTGGTTTACAGTCAATATCAAAGACATAAAATAGAATTTAAAAACAATAAATTTAAATATAAAACCAATATCAATAAAACATATATCAATTTGAGTCTCCTAGTTGAAAGCATTATCCAATAACATCGCCGAGTTGTTACGTTTGTGTGCCTTTACCAGGTTGGTTAACAAGACGATTCAATGGTGAAGCAACTCACCTTGACTGTGGATGAGGAAGTGGCAATCTGGATCACTTGAGCCAGGAGGTTTTTGGGCAGAGGAAATTGGGACAAGGCCCGCAAGGCTGTGGTGTCATCTGTCATTTCAATAGAAAACCCATCTCTGCAGGAGAAGAGGGGGAAAGCAGGTAAGTTAGTGTCGACAGAATTACATAGAGAATTATTACTGCTTACATCCCTTGGGATAACCAAACAGCTTATTCTCATGCGTGACTGCATTAAGGAACTTAGACCCTTGTTTTATTACTGGCAGCTCTGTTTGAGTTGGGGCTGTCACCCTATGCCCTGTTCAGCCTTACAACTGACCAGTAGGACCTCTGTCTTGTCTGGATTCAGTTTCAATTTGTTAGCTCTCACCCAGTCCGACACAGAAGCCAAGCACCGGTTCTGGGACCAGGTAACGGGTGGAAAGGAGTGACAGATTTGGACGTCATCTGCATAGAGATAACACCTCATTCCAAAACTCCGGATGATCTCCCCCAGCGGCTTATAGACAAAACTGAACCCTGTGGGACTCCACAAAACAATGGTTGTGGGGTCGAACAGGTGTCACCCAGTAAGTTATTTTATTTTATTTATTTATTTCGAGCATTTCTACCTCGCCCTTCTCAACCCCCTAGGGGGAACTCAGGGCGGCTTCCAGCCGGCACATATTCGATGCCTACAATTCAACACAACAAAATACACAACCACAGTAATTATAAATAGTTAAAACATTAAATTAATACAATAAAATCTCATAGAAAAAGCCAGCCTGGTGGCCATCGTTTCGCCGAGTTCTGTAAATCGTAAGTCCATTCAGCTTATCATAATCTGTTTCCAAAACTCATGCCGTCATTGTCCTTGTCAGTCTGCCAGATTACCCAAAGGCCTGGTCCCATATCCATGTTTTTAATTTCCTCCTGAAAGAGAGGAGGGATGACAATGATCTAATTTCCCCGGGGAGTGAATTCCACAGACGGGGAGCCACCACGGAGAAGGCCCTGTCCCTCGTCCCCTCCAGTCTCGTTTGTGACAAGGGCGGGATCGAGAGCAGGGCCTCTCCAGAAGATCTTAAATTCCTAGGCAGGACATAGAAGGAGTTACGCTGGGCCGGAGCCATATAGGGTTTTATAGGTCAAGGCCAGCACTTTTAATTGTGCTCGGAACTGGATCAGCAGCCAGTGGAGCTGACATAACAGGGGGGTGGTATGCTCCCTGTATGACACTCTGGTGAGTAGTCTGGCTGCCACCTGTAACACCTTCTGGGACCAGTGCCTCCAAGTCCCATATCTGTGAGGTGTCTCAGAAGGATATACACAAGAGTATCTTGAGGACAGGTTCAAAAAGTGGGGTATCAGGTGTAGGTTGAATGTAAGCAGGGGACAGGACACTGCATAAGAGGACATGCCGATTTCCCGTGCACAGGCACACTTGCTCCTACCCAGTCTGCAAGACAGAAGTAGTCTTCTTGGTTTTTGTTTTTCTCTTGGCAGCCATCGGGTCTAACCCAGTCTTCGGCTGTTGGCTAAAAAGTGAGATGCAAGCTGACATTCCTAACATAGTGCTGCATAAGAATACATGTTGGGCAACATGGGCGCCCAATGAAGTCAGACTGTGTGGGGGGCAACTCAGCAGGTCTACTGAAGGAAAGGCTGTTAAAGGCTGTTACAAGTCACAGTTTGTGTCACAGTGACTTGCAGAATTTCTGGGATATTCTAGAACACAGCCAATATTATTCAGTCCCTGTGCATTGCCTCAAATCCTAGATTTCTGTTGCCCAGTACTAGAGTGTCAGTTCTAACTGCGAGTAGTAGCTTTCCTCAATTCCAGGCAAGATTATTTCCAAGCACTGAGATCCCTGGCATTACTTGGTGGACTTCCTCTGCTAAGATTCGCCAGTCAGATGAGACTGCTTGCTCAGGGTGGAGTGACCATGGAAACAGCTTTGATCCTCTGTGCTTCCATTTAGGGCAGTACTGTATATACTCGAGTATAAGCCTAGTTTTTCAGCCATTTTTTTAGGCTGAAAAACTCCCCCTCGGCTTATACTCGAGTCAAGGTTATTTATTGTTTTACTCTGTTATTATTATTATTATTATTATTATTATTATTATTATTATTATTATTGCATTTATCATTTTACTCTATTATTATACATTATTTTACTGTATAATTGTTGTTATTGCTACATTCCTTTATTTTACTTTTTATTATTATTGTTATTATTGCATTTATTATGTTACTCTATTATTATTGGAAGGATACGTAAGCACATTTACATTGAAGAAGGTAAATAATCATTTTATCAGAGTTGGACAGTCTTATCTTAAAATACCATTTTTGTAAACATTCAAAAATATATAACCTACCGATTCCTCGATTAATGTAATTTAAACGGTATCTATTTTTATTTTGCAATTTAGCCGTAGCGGCTGCATTTCCCACCCTCGGCTTATACTCGAGTCAATCCGTCTTCTCAGTATTTTGTGCTAAAATGAGGTGCCTCGGCTTATATTCGGGTCGGCTTATACTCGAGTATATACAGTAGTTCCCAACCTTATTTTGACCAGGGTCCACTCTCCAATTTATTATTTATTTATTTACGACATTCATATGCCGCCCTTCTCACCCCAAAGGGGACTCAGAGTGGCTTACAAGTAAAAAGTAAACACAATATATTATTATTATCATAGCACAATATTAATATTATATATTACATTGTACTTTAACATTATACTGTAATAATATTAGTAATATTACATTTAGTATAGAATATATAATTATAATATTTTATTATTACTAGTAGTATATTTTATTACATTATATTACCAATATTATATGTATATACAATATAACAGTGGTTCTCAACCTTCTTCATGCTGTGACCCCTTAACACGATTCTGCATGTTGTGGTGACCCCCAACCATAAAATTATTTTCCTTCCTACTTCATAACTGTCACTTTGCTCCTGTTATGAATCGTAATGTAAATATCTGATGTACAGGATGAATTCTCATTCACTGGACCAAATTTGGCACCATTACCCGAACGCTCAAATTGGAATACTGGTAGGGTTGGGGGGAAATTGATGTTGTCACTTGGGAGTTGTCGTTGCTGGGATTTATAGTTCTCCTGCAATCAAAGAGCATTCTGAACTCCACCAGCAATGAAATTGGGCCAAACTTGGCACATAGAACTCCCATGACCAACAGAAAATACTGGAAGGGTTTGGTGGGCATTGACCTTGAGTTTTGGAGTTGTAGTTCACCTATATCCAGAAAGCGCTATGCACTCAAACAATGATGGATCTGGACTAAACTTGGCATGAATACTCAATATGCCCAAATGTGAACACTGGTGGAGTTTGGTGAAAATAGATCTTGATATTTTGTAGTTACTGGGATTTATAGCTCACCTACAATCAAAGAGCAATCTGAACTCCACCAATAACAGAATTGGGCCAAACTTCCCACATAGAACCCCCACGACCAACAGAAAATACTGTGTTTTCTGGTGGCTTCTAGTGACCCCTCTGATACTCCCTCATGACCCCTCCAGGGGTCCCTACCCCCAGGTTGAGAACCACTGCAATATAATATAATATAATCGATATATATAAAAAAATGTAATGTTCGTTTGTGGGATTAACAGAATTCAAAAACCAGTGGGCCAATTGACACCAAATTTGGACAGCATACACCTAACAGCCCAATGTATGTCCTTCACTCAATTTTTTTTATTTTGTCATTTGGGAGTTGTAGTTGCTGGAATTTATAGTCACCTACAATCAAAGAGCATTCTGAACTCCACCAATAATAGAATTGAACCAAACATGACACACAGGATTCCCATGACCAACAGAAAACACTAGAAGGGTTTGGTGGGCATTGCCCTTGAGTATGGGAGTTGCAGTACACCTACATCCAGAGAGCACTGTGGACTCAAACAAGGATGGATCTGGACCAAACTCTACACGAGTACTCAATATGTCCAAATGTGAACTCAGATGGAGTCTGGGGGAAATAGACCCTGACATTTGGGAGTTGTAGTTACTGGGATTTATAGCTCATCTACAATCAAAGAGCATTCTGAACTCTACCAACGTCAAAATTGGGCCAAACTTCCCACACAGAACCCCCATGAGCAACAGAAAATACGTAAGGCCATCCAGTCCAACTTCACCAGGGCAAGAAAACATAATAAAAGCCTTCCTGACAAAGAGCCATCCAGCCATAGATATAGATAGATATGATTCACACCCACACAGATATAGTAGCATAGATTTGAAAGGGATCCCTGCAGAAGGGCAATGTTCCAGAGTATGCAAACCAGATACTCTCCACATCAACACTGACAAAGAAACAGCAAGAATTGCTGTTTACTCACAAGCATAAAGAAATTACATATATTAGAAACCAACACTTTTTCATTACTTTATTTTCCAGATCACCAGACTGGGCCACAGCAACGCCTGGCAGGGGATGGGTAGTATAATATAATATTATAAGCACAGTGCAGGAGACAAGATGGAACTGACTTTCTGGCCCCTCTCTTCATTCTGATCTCAGAGCAGCAGTTGGTGCTGGAGGGGGGGGGCGCGCGCTCCCAACAGATGACACTAAATACACAATAAAGCTTACTTTTTATGGATCATGTTAATTTTCTCCTATATCATTCCACTTGTATTTTTTTTACTCTGCCTAGGTAAGCATGTCTGCTACCCACCCCTCTACTGAGTCCAAGTCTATCTAGGGGAGGAAATAAGCATGATAGGGATAAGCAGTGATTTCTGATGGGTACACAGAGATGATTCTGCAGAGTACATTCTCATGGAAGTGCCACTGTAGTAGCACGTGGCAGGGATTGTCTTGCTCTTGACTCCAAAAGCTCTGAAGTGTGGCTGGGTGATTCCAGAACGGGTTGTGGAAAGGGATCTTGCACCGCCTTGAAACTAACTGAGACAACAAAGTTGACAGCGAAAGCATTCATAGACTAAGTCTACTTCTTCAGACTTAAGCTAGCACAATCTCATGCTCCCTAAACTTCGTTCTCTCTGTTAGTATCGCAGATGCTAAAAGATCCCTTTGCATACTGATATTCCAGATTAACACTGCTACATCTTTGATTTCTGCTCAGAAGGGATAATTCAAGAGAGATGGTTCATGAGAGAAAAAAAATGTGGGCTGTAAGACTGTGTCCACAGCACCTACCAGCAGATTCCAACTCCAACATTAGTACCAAAGGGTTATGAATCAGTTTTAGGCCAACTTTAGATTCAGTTTGGTTATTTGGGGTACTGATACAGAAAATTGCATTGGATAGACCACATCAGCTCTAGTTTCCGATACAGAACATATGCCATCCAGTAGTCGCCATCTTCTTGCCCACAGAAACCATATTTCATAAGTCTCGGCACTATAAGTGGGTATGGAGTCCCCGGTGGCACAGTGGGTTAAACCCCTATGCCGGCAGGACTGAAGACCGACAGGTTGCAGGTTCAAATCCAGGGAGAGGCGGATGAGCTCCCTCTGTCAGCTCCAGCTCCCCAAGCGGGGACATGAGAGAAGCCTCCCACAAGGATGATAAAAACATCAAATCATCTGGGCGTCCCCTGGGCAACGTCCTTGCAGACGGTCAATTCTCTCACACCAGAAGCGACTTGCAGTTTCTCAAGTCGCTCCTGACACGACAAAAAAAATAAAAAAAATAAAAACACTATAAGACGGTTTTGTGAGACCAGCTGCGCTCGTTGCAACGTTGTAGTAACAGTGAGGCCACAGATCATATTTTAGTTATTGGAGACCACTGGTGGTCTATGGACCACAGGTTGGGAACCATTGATTTAGGAAGAGAAAACAATATAGAGAGGGCTGGGTTGCAGGCTGAGAAGAAATGCTAGAAAGCGCACACATTAAAGTAAAGGTAAAGGTCTCCCATGATATTAAGTTTAGTCATGTCCGACTCTGGGGGAGGGGAGGAGTGCTCATCTCCATTTCTAAGCTGAAGACCCGGCGTTGTATGTAGACACCTCCAAGGTCATGTGGCTGGCATGACTGCACGTAGTGCCGTTACATTAAAGTACAGATGAGTAAAATCAGGTAATTATGGTTAGAGAGCACATGTATACATTGGCACATTTTTGCTGCCCTAAAAACCCTTTTAATTGATCTGGTCCTTTCCTTCTGAAAAAGAGGACTCTGCTGGGCCTAAAACAGCTAAGAGATGGTGAAAAATATACTCAATTGTCCCTCAACCACCAAATGAGGAATTGGGGCCCCTTTGGTTTTCAAAATCTTTTTCAAGGGTTGCAGATGATGAATGTGGCCCTCCAAGGTCTCCTGGGGAAGAAATGCAACCCCCTAATAGCTGACAACTGCTCACCCCAACATTAAAGGCTGATGAAATTGAGGGCCATAGAAATAATAATAATAAAAAATAATAATAGAGTAAAGATGTAGTCATTTTGTCTTAAAGGGTTTACACTTATGTAATGATTTCTCAACTTACATCCCTCTTCGATTCTATGTCCGTAACTCACTGAAAACGAAAGCACCATGCAAACACAACAGGCCCATTGAAATCAGCCACGTCTGGAAAATTGTCCCCTGCCTGCCCACTTTCATGTTCATGGACCTACCTGACGTCTCTGGGCGGGGTGCGGGCCCCTGGACGCGTCATGGACAGGTAGTCGGAAACGTCGATGGTGTCCTCCTCCAGCTCCCCCTCCTCCAGCTCACCTTCCTCCAGTTCCCCCTCCTCCAGCTCTTCCTTCCTGATGGGTTTCGGCAGCCGGCTGTGCTCCAGTGGCTGGATGGGTTCGTCGGGCTCCATCCGCCTCCAACAGGTGGACAGGTCGGCCAGCGAAGGGCCGGACTTGGAGCGCCAGCGGCCCTCAGGGCACCACCTCTCTTCAGGGCAGCCCAGCTGCTCAGCAAGAATGCGGTACCTGGCGGCATCAAAGAGCTCGTTCCTGGGCCCCAACAAACCCCAGCCCTGCAGGGAAAGCGAGCGGCAAATGGTCAAGATCCCCAAAGGGAGACATGCTGATTGTTGTTGTGTGGCTGGTTATTTTCACAACTATGACTGCATTTCCTCTTCATAATACCTAATTGCTCCCTGGAGCCTTGTAATTTGCTAGACCAGACTGAGAAGCCACTAAGAAAGGGAAATCAAGGCCATGCCACAAAAGCTAGGCACAATCAACCCATCAACAGGGCTGGGAAAGGAAGGACTGCCCCTGCTCACCTTGAAGAGCTGGCAAGCGGCTGCTGCAGCCTGCCGTTCGGCATCAATCTTCTTGGTCCCATAGCCTTCCACCTCCACATTCTTTGGCCACTTGATGAGCAGCGTGACTTTCTGTTAGAAGGAAGAAAAGAGCAAGGACTTCATCCGACTGTTTTTACACCTGGGGTCAGTTTTCCTTTTGCTGGAAGGTTCAAGGGACAACATTAAGTTGGCAAGACCAAGTAGTCCCCCTCAAAAATATAAGTCCTGTGATTTGTTTTAAAAGTGCATCTAATTGTTGAGGTAACTTTCAATCGAATACTGCCTTATTGTATGGATATAACGTTTTTATGATGGTTTGTACCGCCCTGAGTCGCCTTCAGGCTGAAATGGGCGGGATAGAAATAATGTAAATAAATAAATTGTAATCATTCAGTCCACACTCCCCTTTTTCTCTGTAAGGAGGGACTTCCAGTTGTAAATCAACCACAGTTTAAAATGATGTCTGGACTTGACAACTTAGGCTGTCTTCCAGTTCATGGCACTCATAAGTACCACTCAGAAAAGATGGAGTGGGTTGTGGTGCAGCTGGTTGGCAGTCAGCGGCATTAAAATCCCTACTGACCAAAAGGTCATGTGTTTGAAGCCAGCCGGGGTCGGAGTGAGCTTCCGGCCATTTGTTTAGCTTGCTGTCGACCTTTTGAGTGAGCTTCCAGCCATTTATCTAGCTTGCTGTTGACCTTTGCTGCCTGAAAGACAGTTGCATCTGTCAAGTAGGAAATTTAGGTACCACTTATGCGGGGAGGTTAATTTAACTAATTTACGATGGCATAAAACTCCCCAACAGTGTGCAAAGAATGAGGAAGTACTTCATCAGTGTCACAAGTGGATGGTGAAGCGACAGCTCCCCGGTGGCCGGAATTCAAAAAGCATACCCCCATGAAGCTGGAATATTAAATAGCTTCTGTGTGCCTGTCTATATATATTGTGTGTCTATGGTATTGAATGTTTGCCATGTATGTGTGCATTGTGATCCACCCTGAGTCCCCTGCGGGGTGAGAAGGGCGGAATATAAATGCTGTAAATAAATAAATAAATAAATCAAAATGGGACAGGGATAAGGATCAAAAAGCTTCTAAAATCTTATACAGGTTTGGCAAGCAATGTATTGTAGGTTAGCAGTCTTTTAAATTTGGCTACCTTTTTCCGTGGCCCATTGGTATGGATGTAGACCAGCTTCTCCCTTGCATGGGAGATACCAAGGGCTCTTCCAATGACGCTGTTGAGCAAATTTTTAGGCTGGGGAAATTCCTTCAACAAATCTCTTGATTCTGAAAGAAAAGAGGACAATGAACTCCTGTCAATTGCTGAGGCAGTCCACACCAAGAAACATGCAATGCATCCAGCATCCATGACAGGTCAACATTGCACTTAATTTAGCAGATGGCAGAACATGGTAACATTTAAGCAGTTCAGCCTTGAATAACACAGACCCCAATTCAAGGAGGCAGCAGAGAGGTGCCCTAGCATGATTTCCACAGCCAACTATCCCCACAATGGCAGATCAAGAAAAACTCGGGTTGCAGGGATGGACAACAAACAATAAGCATGTTTCTATGAACCAGTTTGCTAATTTATGAATCCTGTTCACTCAATTCATTCTACTGTGTACACCTGCTTAAGGAGCTTGAAGGTTTGAGCTCAGGCTCAACTCAAGCATCTTAAACATTTTCACACAAGAAAGCAACACGAAATCCTTTCCAGCTAACCAAGAGCCACTTCCTGGAGACACGCACAAGCACACCATTGTGACAATGGAACTCATAAACTGAGGAGGAAAGAAAGTGAAAGTAACTCACCCACTTGCATTGTCCTATCTAGGAGGAAAGCAAGAAGGAAAAGACCCAGAATAAAAATAAAGATTTCTGCAAGAACAGCTGGAGCTTAAGGAGATGGGACACTTTCCTGGGGTGCCTTCAATATCTCATTGGACACACAAAGCCAACGTGTTGTTCATAGCTGTGTGTAGCAGCATGGTAACAGTAATGCTACAACTCAATTCACCTTAGGATACTCCAAAGTGACAAAGCATGCAAATAAACACAACAAAGAGCATTCATATTATGCAACAGGAGGTCAGATGTTTAAATCAAAGTGCATGTTCACATGTGTTTTCCCCCAATATGCCTACTTCTAATATGAGTCAATGGACCATCTTATAAAAATGTTGTAGAATTGGAGCATCTGCAAATATGCAAGTGAAATAGTTCTTCCTTGACAGTAGTTACTAGGTGCAGGAGTTAATGAGGGGAATAAGACCTTGAATGGGAAAAGAAGTTTCAGTAAGCAGAGACGGTACGTGCAGCAATTAAGACGTTCAGCTAGATTTCAACAGAATATAATAATAATACTTTATTTGTACCCCACTACAATCTCCCCAAGGGACTTGGTGCGGCTTACATGAGGCCAAGCCCGCAGTACATCAATAAAACGAAGGCAATAACGAAATAATCAATACAAAACAGTAAAATAAATCTCAAAACAAAAATTAACAATAAACAATAAGAAGCACCAGTTAGCAACCTGGCTGCTGCCTGTTGTACCAATTGAAATTTTCACATTTAGCTTCTGATTTAAAACAATGATCCGTCCCCTCCCTTCTGGAAGAAACTTAAATCCTGGTTATGAGGATTACCTGGGAAGGGATCCCACTGGAGCATTGCAGCACACCCACATACCTGGGAGTCACTCTGGACCGTGCTCTGACCTACAAGAAGCACTGCCTGAACATCAAACAAAAAGTGGGTGCTAGAAACAATATTATACAAAAGCTGACTGGCACAACCTGGGGATCACAACCAGACACAGTGAAGACATCTGCCCTTGCGCTATGCTACTCTGCTGCTGAGTATGCATGCTCAGTGTGGAACACATCTCACCACACTAAAACAGTGGATGTGGCTCTTAATGAGACATGCCGCATTATCACGGGGTGTCTGCGCCCTACACCACTGGAGAAATTACACTGCTTAGCCGGTATTGCACCACCTGACATCCGCCGGGAAGTAGCAGCCAATACTGAAAGGACCAAGGGAGTGATGTTAAAAGTATTGTAAAATGTGCAAAATTATATTGTTCATTGTATGTATTTGGTTATGTTTGTGTAGGTGGGTTTTGTGCCTTTAAATGTCGGAATACTTGTGGTATGGGTTTGGTCAATTGGGTGCAGGTGGACCTCATTGCTGCTGTTATAATGGTTTGCATCTGCCTGCAGTTTTCAGTGAGGGTTAGGTTGGTTTTTGGGTCTGTTTGGTCTGATCTGATTTCTGAGTTTTCTTTTTGTTTCCACTATGAAGCTGTAACAAAATAAGCTTCTGCTGTAGTATTGTTATTTTTGTTTGATATTATAACTCTGCTGACAAGTGACATCTCCAGCTCATCCCCTGTTTGGGTATCAGCCAGCACGTCAACAACTTAAATCAAGAAATAGTTTTCTAAGATCTGCAGAGACACTCGCTGGTACACCTCAGCAAGCGAGAGTCCAAAAGTGGCAGGCTCAAATCCAGAACCTCAACCAATGGCTGAGACCAAATGAGGGACTCCCCGCTGGGTACACAGAAGACTGGGCGACTTGGAAGGCGCTGAACAGACTGCGCTCTGGCACCACGAGATGCAGAGCCAACCTCAAGAAATGGGGCCACAAAGTGGAATCCACGACATGCGAGTGTGGAGAAGAGCAAACCACAGACCACCTGCTGCAATGCAACCTGAGCCCTGCCACATGCACATGGAGGACCTCCTTGCGGCAACACCAGAGGCACTCCAAGTGGCCAGATACTGGTCAAAGGACATTTAATCAACTACCAAGCTTGCAAACTTTGTGTTTTGTCTGTTTGTTTTGTTAGAAATGTAATACAAATGTCTGGTTGCTGATGACACGATAAATTCCTGGACAAGGACGACTAGAGGCCTGCGGCTCACCCACGCGCCCCATCTCGCCTTCGCTCTCCCCGTCGCTCTCATCCGCCGCTGTGGCCCCGGAGGCCTGCTCGCAGAGGCCCCTCCGCCACAGAGAAGCGGCAGCGGCAGAAGCGCTTCCCCCACCGAGGCTGGGCCTGGGCCACAGCGCGCCCGCTACAAACGCCTGCAGCAGCCGGCTGGGCGCCGCCATCTTTGAGAAAGAGAGCCGGCGCGCGCACGGCGACGACGTCACGCCCGGCGCGCCTGCGCTTTTGTGGCATCTTCACCTCCGCCCTACTGCGCCACCTAGCGGGCGGCTGCCTGGCACTGCAGGGGAGCATTCAGACAAAAACACAAATGGGGGAAAAAAAGGACCAGGAGGCAGTGATAATGATTGACAACTGGAAAATAGAGGGAGAAACCGTGGAGGCTGTGACAGACTTTGTATTTCTAGGTGCAAAGATTACTGCAGATGCAGACTGTGGCCAGGAAATCAGAAGACGCTTCCTTCTTGGGAGGAGAGCAATGTCCAGTCTCGATAAAATAGTGAAGAGTAGAGACATCAGACTGGCAACAAAGATCCATTGCCTAGTCAAAGCCATGGTATTCCCTGTAGTAACCTACGGATGTGAGAGCTGGACCTTAGGGAAGGTTGAGCGAAGGAAGATCGATGCTTTTGAGCTGTGGTGTTGGAGGAAAGTGCTGAGAGTGCCTTGGACTGCGAGAAGATCCAACCAGTCCATCCTCCAGGAAATAAAGCCCGACTGCTCATTGGAGGGAAAGATACTAGAGACAAAGTTGAAGTACTTTGGCAACATCATGAGGAGACAGGAAAGCCTAGAGAAGACAATTATGCTGGGGAAAGTGGAAGGCAAAAGGAAGAGGGGCCGACCAAGGGCAAGATGGATGGATGGCATCCTTGAAGTGACTGGACTGACCTTGAGGGAGCTGGGGGTGGTAACGGGCGACAGGGAGCTCTGGCGTGGGCTGGTCCATGAGGTCACGAAGAGTCGGAGACGACTGAACGAATGAACAACAACAACAACAACAGGCATGGGCAAACTTGGGACCTCCAGGTGTTTTGGACTCCAACTCCCACCATTCCTAATTCCAAATCAATTCTGCCTGAGTGGGGATTTGGACCCTTGGCTGCCTCTAGAAGCAGATGGAAAAAACAGAAGAATGGCCTGCCCCAGGGGAGTGTGCTTGCTCCATCCATGTTCAATATTTACACAAATGTTGAACACCTTAAGAACAGACAAGCATCCCGAGCTCCGAGGATCACCTGGGAAGGAATCCCACTGGAGCATTGCAGCACACCTAAATACCTGGGAGTCACTCTGGACCGTGCTCTGACCTATTATTATTATTATTATTAAACTTTATTTGTACCCCGCTAGCATCTCCCGCAGGACTCGATGCGGCTTACAAAGGCCAAGGCCTCAACACAACAACAGCAAAACAATAACAGTACAATTTAAAGCAAAATAAAACATAAGCAATAAAAAACAATACATCAATTACACAATAAAAACCAGGGCCGGGCCAGTGATGGGTACAGGTTAAAAAGTGCTGGGTGTGGCAGGTGGTATTTTGGATTTCCGGGCAAGTGCAATGTGCAGAGAGTCTTAAACTCTAATAAAGTGCTTCTGGGACGTAGTGCTGGAGATTATCCTATTCCGGAAAGGCACATCGGAATAGCCAGGTCTTCAGATTCTTCCTGAAGACTGCCAATGTGGGTGCTAGTCTAATATCTTTGGGGAGGGTGTTCCAGAGTCAGGGGGCAACCACAGAGAACCTACAAGAAGCACTGCCTGAACATCAAGCAAAAAGTGGGTGCTAGAAACAATATCATACAAAAGCTGACTGGCACAACCTGGGGATCACAACCAGACACAGTGAAGACATCTGCCCTTGCGCTATGCTACTCTGCTGCTGAGTACGCATGCCCAGTGTGGAACACATCTCACCATGCTAAAACAATGGATGTGGCTCTTAATGAGACATGCCGCATTATCACGGGGTGTCTGCGCCCTACACCTCTGGAGAAATGACACTGTTTAGCTGGTATTGCACCACCTGACATCCGCCAGGAAGTAGCAGCCAATAGTGAAAGGACCAAGGCAGAGACATCTCCAGCCCATGCCTTGTTTGGGTATCAGCCAGCACATCAACGACTTAAATCAAGTAATAGTTTTATAGGATCTACAGAGACACTTGCTGGAACACCTCAGCAAGTGAGAGTCCAAAAGTGGCAGGCTCAAACCCAGAGCCTGCTATTGCTTTTAAATGTTCCCATGATTTTGTAATGTGTGTATTGAAACTGTTGTTGTTAACCGCTTTGAGTCGCCTAAGGGCTGAGAAAAGCAGTATATAAATGAAGTAAATAAATAATAAATAAATACCAGATGAGAGACTCCCCCCTGGGCACACAGAAGACTGGATGACTTGGAAGGCGCTGAACAGACTGCGCTCTGGCACCACGAGATGCAGAGCCAACCTCAAGAAATGGGGCCACAAAGAGGAATCCACGACATGCGAGTGTGCAGAAGAGCAAACCACTGACCACCTGCTGCAATGCACCCTGAGCCCTGCCACATGCACAAGGGAGGACCTTCTTGCAGCAACACCAGAAGCACTCCAAGTGGACAGCTACTGGTCAAAGGACATTTAATCAACTACCAAACTCGCAAAGTTTGTATTTTGTCTGTCTGTTTGTTTCGTTCTGTTAGAAATGTAATACAATTGACTGGTTGCTTTGACACGACAAATAAATAAGCTGCCCTCCAACATCATCCCAACTCACCAGGCAATAGCACCAAACATATACATGATACACATTTAGAAATGCCATGCAAGAAGGTCAAAAGGCTTCAAGGGTGATTCGGTATTTTTTACTGAGCAGATGCAATAATTCCTTCCTCCTCCTCCTCCTCTCTCTTGCAGCCTCCACAAAGTAACTCTTTATTCCTGCACAAATTTCTTGTTCTAAGATCAATGTTTGGAAATTAGAAGGCGCACTGAATATGGAAAACTAATAATGATTTAACTGCAGAGCTAGATAAAACAACAAGGGACAGAAAACGGCAGAAGATGCAAACTTGTAAGGATTTCAGCACCAAGGACAGTGGCCTCCAAGGTGGCACAAACCCATGCAACGAGGGACAAAATATAAACTGTGAAAAGGATCATTGTGACTGTTTCAAATTTGAGATAAAACTAAATGAAAGCTAAATTTGTAAAACCAGGGAAAGGGCAGCTGGGGACAGGGAAGTCTTCAGTGTATCAAGATGCAGTATACAAGTCATGGCAGTAGAATGCTACCTGGACCTTTGGAAAGATGGCTCATGTCATCAAGAGAAAAATCTACAATGTATATCTTCAACATAATGAACATGAGGGCAGATCCATGTCCCCAGAGGGCTTGAGTGATGCCCTTTTTAACCTTGCACAACGGAAATGTGAACTGAACATTTAATAATAATAATAATAATAATAATAATAATAATAATAATAATGTTGAGACCTTCTCAACCTCTGAGGATGCTTGCCATAGATGCAGGCGAAACGTCAGGAGAAATGCCTCTAGAACATGGCTCTATAGCCTGAAAAAACCCACAAGAACCTAATAATACAAATGATCAGTACACTGGGTGCAGTGCCTAAAGACTTTGGCCTGCACTTAAACACAATTGGTGCTGACAAAATTACCATCTGCCAGCTGCAGAAGGCCACCTTACTGAGATCTGCACACATTATTTGTCGATACATCACACAGTCCTAGACAATTGGAAAGTGTCCGACGTGTGATCCAATACAACGGCCAGCAGAGTGTCTGCTGTGGACTCATCTTATTGTGTTTCAAATAATAATAATAATAATAGTAGTAATACTAATAATAATAATAATGGCACAAGCCAGTCAAGGTGGTACCAGTGGGGATCGGCACACTGGGTGCAGTTCCTCAAGACCTTGGCCTGCACTTAAACACCATCTGCCAGCTGCAAAAGGCCACCCTACTGGGATCTGCACGCATTATTCGCCAACACATCGCACAGTCCTAGACACTTGGGAAGTGGCCGACGTGTGATCCAATACAACAGCCAGCAGAGTGTCTGCTGTGGACTCATCTTGTTGTGTTTCAAATAATAATAATAGGAGTTACAGATTTAACTGCAAAAACTCTGTAATGGTGGTCCCAGGGGTGATCGGCACACTGGGTGCAGTGTCTAAAGACTCTGGCCTGCACTTAAAAACAATCGGCGCTGACAAAATTGCCACTTGTCACCTACTTGGACCTGCACGCATAATTCGCCAATATATCACACAGTTCTAGGACACTTTGGAAGTGTCCGACATGTGATCAAATACAAAAGCCAGAGTGATCTTGATTGCTGCATACTAATCTTATGTATCTAATGATAGTAATAATAAGTATGGATCATCGATGTCACAATCCCAGGTGACAGCAGGATTGCAGAGAAACAACTGGAAAATCTGACACAATATGAGGATTTAAAGATCGAACTGCAAAGACTCTGGCACATGCCAGTCAAGGGGGTACCAGTGGTGATCGGCACACTGGGTGCAGTGCCTAAAGACCTTGGCCTGCACTTAAACACAATTAGTGCTGACAAGAGTACCATCTGCCAACTGCAAAAGGCCACCTGGGATCAGCAGACATTATTCGCCGATACATCACAGTCCTAGACACTTGGGAAGTGTCCAACGTGTGATCCAATACAACTGTCAACAGCCAGCAGTGTCTGCTGTGAACTCATCTTGTTGTGTTTCTAATAATAATAATAATAATAATAATAATAATAATTATTATTATTATTATTATTCAGAGTGGCGTCAAAAAAAAAGGCAAAAAAATTCAATGCCATGTGCAACAACAAATTAACCCAATTAAAATAAACTATAAACAGTTTAAAAATAGAAGAATTGAACAACCTAAGGTGTACAACTCAGTCAGTAGTAAAAACACTACTGGCCCATGTCTTCAGGCCACCTTCTTAAAAGGAGTGCTTTGTGGAGCACAACTGCTGACGGTGAACACATGAGCTGAAATATCAGGGTGGGAAAGGTTGTTAAATAATTTTCAGTTCAACAGGTGACACACTTTCCTTCCTTAACATATCTGCCACCTTCTCTATTTTGCCCCCCCCTGCCCCCCCCCCCCCCCCTGCTCCAAGGAAGCATATTTGCAGACCTACCAGCTCAGGTTTTCAAGCTCAAGTTGAGGCACTAAAATCAATGCTGGAAGAGCTTGCCTTGAGGTTCATTCACTGTCGGAGTAAGAAAACTAAGGATGCAGCTGCCCTTTAAAACGAATGTAATTTGATATCACTTTAACTGCATGCTCTGTGCTAGGAAACCTTGGGAATGGTAGTTCTACAAGGCCTTTCATCTTCTCTGCTGGGATCCCACCAAATCACAAATCCCATGAATCCATAGCATTGAGCCATGTCAGTTAAAGTGCTGTCAAATGGCATTAATTTTACAATGTATAGATCAGGCAAGGGCAAACTTGAGCCCTCCAGGTATTTCGGATTCCAACTCCCACAATTCCTAACAGCCTACTGGTTGTTAGGAATTGTGGGAGTTGGAGTCCAAAACACCTGGAGGGTCCAAGTTGGCTCAGGCCCGGTATAGATCCATTCAAAGTCTTATGAAAGGTTAGGCTTAGTGGTGAGACCTGCTAGATCTTGAGTTTGAGAATATGGCTTTTGGAGAGAAAAACAGAGCCAGCCCTTCATCCATCATGGGCCCTCGATTCCTCCCCACTCCTAGAGCTCCTTCGTTTTGTTACACAACTCTCATTTTGGTCAAGAAATGAGAAATCCCCCTTTCAGTTACTTGATTCTTACCTCTTCTACATGAATTCAGGGAGAACATCTCTGGCAGAGGAAAAGAGTACAGTTCCTGGAGAAAAAAACAAAAGGTAAGGAGTGATAAAAATCAAAATAAATCAAAGGAGACATCACTCATTGCTGTTAATGGACATTATTCATCATCAAGTCAACTTCATCTTATGGTGATCCTATGAATGAGAACCCCTCCAATGGACTTGTTGAGGACAGAATCTAGGGCAGTGTTTCTCAACCCGGGGTGGGGTCGTGAGGAGGTTCCCTGAACTGGTGGTTGCCTGTACATAAGACTCCAGCATCACAGGTGTCTTGTACACCCAAACACGGCAGTTCTTGGGTGGAGGTTGGAGGGAGAGGACAAGTCCACCACAGATCTCCTTCCCACAAAGACACAGAATAGTGTTTCTCAACGTGGGGGTCGGGACCCCGGGGGGGGGGGGGCTCATGAAGGGGTGCCAAAGACCATCAGGAAACAGTATTTTCTGTTCGCCATGGGGTTCTGTGTGGGAAGTTTGGCCCAATTCTATCGTTGGTGGGGTTCAAAATGCTCTTTGATTGTACAACTCACAAATGTCAAGGTCTATTTTCCCCAAACTCCACCAGTGTTCATATTTGGACATATTGAGTATTTGTACCAAGTTTGGCCCGGATCCATCATTGTTTGAGTCCATAGTGCTCGCTAGATGTAGGTGAACTACAACTCCGAAACTCAAGGTCAAGGGCCACCAAACATTTCCAGTATTCTTTGTTGGTCATGGGAGTTCTGTGTCCCAAGTTTGGTTCAATTCCATCATTGGTGGAGTTCAGGATGCTCTTTGATTGTAGGTGAACTATAAATCCCAGCAACTACAACTCCCAAATGACAAAATCAAACATTTTTGAGTGAAGGACATACATTGCGTTGTTAGGTGTATGCTGTCCAAATTTGGTGTCAATTGGCCCACATTACATTTTTATCCCCCAAAACAAAATCAATCCCCCCAACCACAGCAGTGTTTGAATTTGGGCATATCGGGTATTTGTGCCAAACTTGGGCCAGTGAATGAAAATACTTCCTGCATATCAGAGATTTACACGACGATTCATAACAGTAGCAAAATTACATTTATGAAGTAGCAGCGAAAATGATGTTATGGTTGGGGGTCACCTTATTTAGGCGATCCCTCGTTGGACGAGTAGGATAGTCTTCCAGGATCAGTATTCTTGTGGATCCATAGGTTGCTCTGGAGCCCTCTTCTTGACCTGTATCTTCTCCCACAGTGAGGGCATTGGTTTCCAGGTGGAAGGCGCTGTTGGTTGGGGTTGGCTTGACGCGCCTTCCTCCTGGCACGTTTCTCTCTTTCACCCTCCATTCGTGCCTCTTCAAATTCTGCAGCACTGCTGGTCACAGCTGACCTCCAACTGGAGCGCTCAAGGGCCAGGGCTTCCCAGTTCTCAGTGTCTATTCCAGAGTTTTTAAGGTTGGCTTTGAGCCCATCTTTCAATCTCTTTTTCTGCCCAGCAGCATTCTGTTTTCACTTCCTGAGTTTGGAGTAGAGCAACCTCTTTGGGAGATGATGGTTGGGCATCCGGATAACGTGGCCGGTCCAGTGGAGTTGATGGCGGAGGACCATCGCTTCAGTGCTGGTGGTCTTTGCTTCTTCCAGGACGCTGACGTTTGTCCACTTGTCCTCCCAAGAGATTTGCAGGATTTTCCAGAGGTAGCGCTGATGGAATCGTTCCAGGTGTTGCATGTGACGTCTGTAGACAGTCCACGTTTCGCAGGGGGCCACCACAACATGAGGAACTGCATGAAGGGGTCGCGGCATTAGGAATGTTGAGAAACACTGATCTAGGGCTTCCTGTGTGCAAAACAGATGCCATGTTGATGAGCTCCATTTCAGTCTTAAGTCATAGTGATACATACTGGAAATGCATGGCTGGCTTGTTTTCTATATGTGAAACAGAAATCGATTCCCTAGATGTGAAACTAAAATTTGTTCTGAATCCTTTCTTTTCCAAACAGGAGTTTTGAGGGCAGGGAGACGAGGACTTAAAGAGCACATTGCAGGGAAAGAGTTAAGATGTGTTGTTGGGCTTGGCCTATGTCTGTTCTTGTTTTTATTGTATTTTAAAATTAATTGTATTGTTTTAATCTACTGCTGTAAACCGCTCCGAGCCAAATTGGGAGTAGCGGTATGTATACATGTCAAATAAATAAATAAATAATAAAATAAATAAAATGTAAACCGCTCCGAGTCCCTTGGGGAGATGGTGGTAGGGTATAAATAAAGATTATTATTATTATCTATATATATAAAAATGCTCTGTGCATAATGAGTACCTTACAAACAAAAGAACCAATGAACGGAATCACACCAAATTTGGCAACAAAACATCTCACAACACAAGGAGTGACCATCACTCAAAAAATTATGATTTTGTCATTTGGGAGTTGTAGCTCCTGGGATTTATAGTTCACCTACAATCAAGAGCATTCTGAACTCCACCAACGATGGAATTGAACCAAACTTGGCACACAGAACTCCCATGACCAACAGAAAATCTTGGAAGGGTTTGATGGGCATTAACCTTGAGTTTGGGAGTTGTAGTTCACCTACATCCAGAGAGCACTGTGGACTCAAACAATGATGGATCTGCACCAAACTTGGCACAAGTACTCAATACGCCCAAATATGAACAAAGATGGAGTTTGGGGAAAATAGACCCTGACATTTGGGAGTTGTAGTTACTGGGATTTATAGTTCACCTACAATCAAAGAGCATTCTGAACCCCACCAACTATAGAATTGAACCAAACATTCCACACAGAACCCCCATGACGAACAGAAAATACTCAAGGCCATCCAGTCCAACTCCCTTCACCGGGGCAAGAAAACATAATCAAAGTCCTCCTGACAAAGAGCCATCCAGCCATAGATATAGATATATATGATTCACACAGAGAGAGATATAGTATCATAGATTTGGAAGGGACCCCTAAAAATGGACAATGATATGTTGCATGTTCCAGGGTGGGCAAACCAGACAATCTCCACATCAACACTGACAAAGAAACAGCAAGAAATACTGTTTACCCACAAGCAGAAAGAAATTACATATATTAGAAACCAACAATTCCTCATTACTTTATTTTTCCAGATCACCAAACTGGGCCACAGCAATGCGTGGCAGGGGATAGCTCGTAAATAAATAAAAATATGTGCAGGCCCCAACTCAAACTGAGCTGCCAGTAATAAAACAAGGGTGTAAGTGCCTTAATGCGGTCGTGCATGAGAATAAGCTGTTTGCAGCAACGCGTGGCAGGGGACAGCTAGTTGTTATTATTATTATTATTATTATTATTATTATTATTATTATTATTGTTAAGCTCACCCACCTTTTCTTTTTATGATCCTGACCCTGGTTTCTCCAAAAGTTCTAATTTAAAGTTTTAAAAAGCAAGAGCACATTGCCAAAACATGCATTTAACACGGCATACAGTTTGGCTCCAACCAGCAGTATACCAATTATTAGGATGAGAGAAAATCCAACACAGAGAAAGAGACGGAAATTCTCATGACGTCACCAAGAGCCATTTTTAGCCATTTAAACCATCTATACTCCGCAGGGATCCCAACTGATAAGTCACGAAAAGGCCACGGCGAGCTTCTCCTCTCCTTTCAGCTGCACCTTGAATGGTAGCAAACCAGCAGGAGAAGCATTGCAGAAGAGGGGGAAGAAAGAGACCCCCGCCCACGTCTGCACACTCCTCTGCAGGCAGAAGAGTAGGAGCCGATACACCTTTGCGGGGTGAGAAGGGCAGAATATAAATGCTGCCAATAAATAAATAAATAAATAAATTTATAGAGCCCAAGCCTATACTTCTATTATTTAGATTTAGAAGCATGCCTGAATATCAAGCAAAAAGTGGGCGCTAGAAACAATATCATACGAAAGCTGACTGAAAGAACTTGGGAATCACAACCAGACACAGTGAAGACATCAGTCTTTACACTTTGCTACTCTGCCGCTGAGTATGCACGCCCGTGTGGAACACATCTCATCACGCTAAAACAATGAATGTGGCTTTTAATGAGACATGCCACATTATGACAGGTTGTTTGCACCCTATACCACTGGAAAAATTATACTGTTTAGCCCGCATTTGCACCACCTGAAATCTGCCGGAACACCTCAGCAAGCGAGAGTCCAAAAGTGGCAGTGTTGTGGCTCAGTCTGAGCCTGAGCTTTCTGAGCCTGAGTTTCCTCAGGACGAGGAGGATGACGGGTTACAGATTTCTGAACAGATCCCTGTGGTTGAGATAGACAGTGTTGACTCTAGAGATAAGGCGACGTTTCAGTTTCCCAGGGAATGGAATGTTGTTTTAGATGATGGTCATGATTTGAATGAAACTTCACAGCTCCAGGTGGAGGAGTTGACCGCTCCATCTGTGAGCTCAGTGCCTGTCGATTCCCAGGCTGGCTAGTCCCAGGATAATGAGTTATTCGACCTTGAAGATGATGGGGATTTAGTTAGGGAGGACCGTTTGCAATTAAGGGTACACTGAAGTGCTCGGCTTGCTAACAAACAGGAGGTTTGAGGTCAATGTAATGTTTTCATGTTAAGAAAGCATATTTAACAATCTGTTTGAAGTCAACTCTTTGTCAGTGCAACTTTGCTTACACCCTGTTAACTTCTCTGGAGTTGCCTCGGCTTTTGGGAAAAGCTTTTGGCTCTTTCAGACTTTGGTTTTGATCTTGGTTTCTGGGGACTCTGTCATGCTGACATGGATTCTTGTGTGACCCATGCTTGTGGATTATATGTTATTTGCCTTTGGGCCTTGGAAACTGTGCCTTTGCATTTAAGACTCTGTTTTGGCTATTGAACTTTTACAACCTTATTTCTATGTTTATGATTTTGCTTTTTCTTCAGTAAACTACAAAACCTACAGCCTTGGTGTGTGGTAGTGTTCTGAGCAAGGTGAATCTGTCCTGAGCTGTGACAGGCAGGCTAAAACCCAGAACCTCAACCAATGGCTGATACCAAATGAGAGACTCCCTCCTGGGCACACA